AAGAAAAGGAAAAACAGAAGAAATCCTTCGAAGAACTTGTGCCCGCTTATCTTCATGAATATGCAGATGTATTTGCCAAAGATGGACTAAAACAACTCCCTCCGGAACGTCCTGGAATAGACCACCGCATAGAAACAAAACCTGGGTTCCTTCCAAGAACATCTAAAGTATATCCTCTCTCCCCAAAAGAAAGGCTTGCAGTAAAGAAATTTATTGACGAAAACTTGGAGAAAGGTTTTATCACTCTGTCGAAATCCCCACAAGCCAGTGGTTTCTTTTTTGTAGGAAAGAAAAGTGGAGAACTTCGTCCCTGTCAAGATTACCGAGGCATTAATGATCAAACGATAAAGAACTCTTATCCCCTTCCACTTCCGGCAACTCTTATCGAACGATTACATGGGGCAAACTTCTTCACGAAAACGGATATCAGATCAGGCTATAACAACATCCGTATCCACCCGGATCATCGATGGAAAGCCGCGTTTACTACAGAGCATGGATTATTCGAACCGAGTGTAATGTTCTTCGGGCTATGCAACTCACCTGCCACCCTTCAAGCATTTATGGATAATGAATTCTGTCAGGAAATCAACAAAGGATGGCTGGTGATATACATGGATGACATCCTTATCTTTTCAAAAACACTTGAAGAACATCACGAACAAACAAAACGGATCTTAACAAAGATTAGAGCAGAAAAGCTATTTTTGAAACCGGAAAAATGCACATTTGACTCTCAAGAAGTTGAATTTCTTGGCATGGTCATTAAACCAGGATCCGTAGAAATGGACAAAGCAAAAACCAACGGCATCAAGGAATGGCCCGTTCCTACTTCTGTTAAAGAAGTTCGGTCATTTTTAGGATTCTGCAATTTCTACCAATCATTTGTCGTGCACTACTCGGATATCGCTCATCCCCTTATCGATCTGACAAAGAAGGATACCATTTTCTCTTGGAATGCTCAGCATCAGCAAACATTTGACCAGTTAAAAACCTGTTTCACCACCCATCCTGTACTCTGCAATCCAGACCCCGTAAAACAATTCGCTATTGCCACAGACACCTCATTAGTAGCAACAGGAGGAGTTTTACTACAAACTGACGAAAACGGTGTCTATCACCCCTGCGCCTATCTGTCGCAATCATTCAATCCAGCCGAACAAAATTACCCAATTTTTGACCGAGAACTCCTTGCCATAATTCGTGTGCTAACCAAATGGCGGTGTAGGGATTCATTTCTGGCTGGGCTTGCAGAGACTGTTTTTACCTTAGTGTTATGTTTGCACTTTTGTAGCTTACATAATCAAGTTACCTTTTCACCAGTTCTACTATGAGTCTGAGTATTCAGCAAGTTTCTATCATATTTCCTCTTCTCTGAGCCTTGAGCCTGGTCCAGAAACCCTTTAGGGTCGAATAGCAGCTAGGTTCTGCAAGACCCAACATTGTTCAGACTCACCATCTGAATTGTTGTACCTTCAGCGGCATTATCTTGAAGGACACCCCTCCCCAATTATAGTTTTCACAGATCACATGAACTTGCTCTATTTTAAGAAAGCATAACACTTATCCTGTCGACAAGCACGATGGCAGATGCTTCTGACTAACTTTGATTTGGAACTGCATCATGTTCCTGGTTCTCGATTAGCTGTACCTGACGCCCTTTCTCGGCGATCAGACCATGATACCGGATCCTCCGATAACGATAATACCATTCTACTTCCCGACTCCATGTTCATTCGACTCATTGATGATGGCCTTCGCGCTACCCTTGCCAGTTCGGATGCACTTAACGACCCGATATTCGCTACTGCCGTAGACGCCCTCAATGGTGTCTGTCTTCCCCCCATGAAATCCGCTTTAAGTGATTGGAAAGTAGATTCTGGGATATTATCCTACAAAAACCGAGCGTATATTGCTCCTGATCATCGCAAAGCTATGTTGGCTCAATACCATGACCATCCAACCGCTGGTCATCCCGGACACTTCAAGACCGAGGAATTGGTCAAACGCGAAGCCTGGTGGCTGGGCATGGGAGCATTTATCCGGAAATATGTTGAAGGATGTGCCACCTGCCAGCAAATGAAGGCTGATACACATCCCATTACGCCACCTCTCATACCAATTTCTTCCATTGCCACCCGACCCTTTTCACAGATCTCTGTTGATCTTATCATGGATCTTCCCCTTTCCTCTGGTTTTGATTCCGTCATGGTCGTGGTAGACCATGGGCTTGATAAGGGGGTGATAATTACTCCTTGCCATAAAAATATTACCTCTGAAGGGGTAGCCAAACTATTCCTGAAACACGTATTCAAACACTTCGGATTACACGACAAAGTAATCTCTGACCGAGGACCCCAATTTCTCTCGAAGTTCTCCTTGGAATTAGCTCAACTCCTTGATTATTCTATCGCCCCTTCCACCACCTATCATCCACAAACTGATGGACAAACCGAACAACTCAATCAAGAACTAGAGACATACCTACGGATCTATTGCAGCAACGACCCAACCAATTGGGTAGAACACCTTCCCATGGCAGAATTCGTTCACAATCATAGAAAGCATGATGCCCGAAATGCTTCACCTTTCTACATCATGATGGGTTATGAGCCTAAAGGAATCCCCCATGTCTTGGCAGACTCAACAGTACCAACTGCGGAAGAACGAGTTCGACTTCTTCAAAAGATAAGAGAAGAAGCGATTGCCTGCCACAACATTGCTATGCAACGCATGGCGGAAAGATCCTTCGGCCAGAAGTACCAGCCATGGAAAGTAGGAGATAAGGTGTGGTTATCTGCAACCAATCTCCGTCTAAAACTTCCATCTCGGAAACTCGCCCCGAAAAGATATGGCCCCTTCCCCATTTCTGCCGTACTATCTCCGATCACGTTCACACTCCAACTACCTCCGCAATGGAAAATACATCCCACATTCCATGCTTCCCTACTATCGTCCTATAGCGAAAATGATGTTCATGGCCCGAACTTCTTGGAACCACCACCTGACATTCTAGAAGAAGAAGAAGAATACGAAATAGAAGCTATATTGGCTCACAAAGGTACCAGTAAACGTCGCTGTTATCTAATATCATGGAAAGGATATTCCTCCGCTAGCAACGAATGGATCCCAGAAGAAAACCTGGAAAATGCCGGAGAAACCCTTTCGATCTATAAAAGAAAACACTCGCTGTGATATCGCCCCATAAACATAAACATTATGTCCTTCCCAGTTTCTTACACTCTTCCTTATGAATCCGCGTTCGCCCCAATTGACCTGTCCTCCAATGAAGGAAGATTTAAATCCTTCATCTCGGAAATCGAAGACCTTACTCTCATCGAAGCCGCAATCCTTTGTCCCCAACATGCCATTGAAATCAACAAAATCCTTATCAACCGAAATGCCTTCTCCGTCAACCTCCTCGTCAACATCATCAGGTCCGCCGACCTCATTGAAAGACTCGTTCGACATGTGGAAGAACCACGTGTTCAGCATGGCATCATGCATTTACAGAAACGCATTCGTGCTTACACTCTGCGTCTTATCCCTCAAGAGGTTAGGGCAGATATCCAGGAAGTTATTCACATCATTGCTGAACGAGTCACCAGAGTCGCTCGCCCACCATCTCCACAACCAGCTGAACGAACGACTGCGACTCCACCACCTTCCTATGACAGTGGAATTCCCATTCCTCCTCCTCGTGTGTCTGACGAGCTATTGGCTGCTGTTAACAGCCTCACGGAGATTACCAACGCCATGATCGTCAACCTGCAAGAAGAAACCTAACTTGCATTACAAATAGTTTCAACAGTATCTGCAACCACATCTGATATGGTCGTTGCTCCAGAAGAAACTGTAGAGCACCCGGAAAACCTTTACACCGCCTTCTCTTCTACGCATGAAGAAATAACCATGGAACAGTCGATTTCTCCCCCCGACGAAACCATCACACTTGCTGAAGTGCTCAAAGTGTTACACATCCATCCACCAATGATTATCCCATCCACGCTTACCCCACTGACATTCGTAGACTGCCTCGTTCCTGTGCAAGCCCTTGGACCTACCGCCCCTGCAGAGTACACTGAGCTAATTGCGGAAGCAGAACGAATCCCCATGCCATTGTCCTCCGTCTACGTACTCGCTAGAGAAGACGTAGCCCAGATCAAAGAATCTTCTAGCAGAAAAAGATCCCCTAGACGCGGATACCGAGGCAAGGGAAAGAAAAGAGCCTCTAGCGATGATGAAGCATTTAGTCACCGTCCTGCTCCCCCCGTAATACGACCTTCATCCTCGAACCCAGACGAAAACCGCGTTTGCAGATACTGTAAAACCCTTGGCCATCGCCAAACAAACTGTCCCGATTATTATTGCAGAATATGCAGGGAGCTCTCTCCCGGACATCTCTCCTTGTATTGCCACCAATTCACCGGATGCTCCCCCACTACGCTTACTTGGAAGGACGAAGGGTTCTACCAAGAGCTCTCTCATTGGGAGAAAAGTTTAGACGAAGCTTACGTCCATCAGTGCCAGGAAGAAGAAGCCCTCCGACAGGCGGAGTACCTTACTGAAGGAGGAGACGATCAGCTTGACTATTCTGACGATCCTATCTATTGGGAAAACCAAGATATGTAAAGTCGGTGACTTCACGCTTAGTAAGGGGGTAATGTTACAACCGCTATCTCATTCTTCTTGTACTCATACGATATGCCTTCCTTTCTTGGAACTGTACTTACTATCTCACGATGACTTGGTCTGTGCGCACATATGGACCTATTTAAGCACATGTATTACACTTGTATTCTTCACTTGAATCTTACTAGGTTTTACCTGGAACTTCCTTCGCTTAAGACCTCCAATCTTAAGTCATCTTGAAACCCGATTCTTAGTCAAAGCACTCCTTTGACTAAGTCCACAGAACTCTCTCTTGTCTGAGAGACTGAGAATCTCAACGACCGTAAACTCTGTCGAGTTGTCGTTGTTAGAACTATCCTAGTTCGTAACAACATGATCAAGACTGCCAAGGCCAAATGTCTCCTGGAGTGTCTTGATTCCAGCTGTGTCTTTAGCTGCGTACATTCCATCCAGGTAGGCGATCACTGCCTGTACATCAGAAGAACAGTTCTGTGGCATGTGCTCTGTTTTTCAGCAGTAGGTACTGGTGTCTTCAAGAGGCGAAGATGATCTTCAGGATAGAAGCAGTGGATGCACGTGAGTTGTTGCAGCATGATACCATACTGCATGATGTCCATGTCAAAAGCACGACTGTTGACCAGTTCAGAAGAGCCTCTGGAAACTTTGCCGACAACAATGAGAGTAGGGACTGCTCTGCCACTATCTGTAGGCTGCATCTCCTAAATGTAATCTTGTATCAGCGAGTCAATAACAACCACATGCAATGCACATTGGCACAGTACAGTTCAAGAGAAAGGTGTTCATCTGCCGTGCTGGTAAATAAGAGGTTAGCGAGAAATATAAGTTAGACTCAATATATCAGTCCCCCATCCAGAGTTGAGTCTACATGTGCGACATACCTGAATAGCGTCGAGATGAAACTACAGGCCAATAGGAGTTGGGGACTTGCAGCAGCAGCAGCAAAATTGAGGTAGTGTAGGGCGCTGACAGATGATGATCATGGTGGGGTTCGAACACGTCCGAACCAGTTCTGGGTAGCTCCGAACCCCAAACCGGACTCAAGGTTCAGTCCAGGGGCCATGCCGGACCTGTGACCGGACCTTGAGTCTGGTTCTGAAAGGTTCGGGTTTGAACCGAGGTTCAGAACTGGACTATGGCAGCACTAATCTGATGTCGCATATGGGTGTTGTTTGGGAAAACTTGTTGGGATGTAGCTCGATAAGGAAGATAAGAGCTGTCTGATAAAGCCACTCCTCAGATATCCAGTAACCATACAGCTGAGTGTTACATTGCAGGCATGGACAAATTATATTGATGCAGTTTGGTAGGTGCAGAATTACATTGTTGGTCTTGGTTAGCTTCACCAAGCTGAGCAAGAGTAACTGAGAGGGATATCAACAAACAACACCTGGACACACCTGCATGCTAGAAATTGCTCTATCGAGGCTTTGGATTTGTTCAGACATGTTCTGAAATTAACAGGGGGAGGCCTGAGGCTTATATGTAAAGGGGCGTTCGGAGCTTCAAATTCCGTTGACTCCTGTCTTGTCAGCCTGACGTCATGAAAGCCCGGATTGCCAGACTCCTCCTACCACGTCAGCGGAGGGTAGTTTGAAGCTTTACATGTCCACTATGTTGGACCTGGCGTATTACTATCATGGTGGTTAAGAGTTTACCAATTGCAAACAGCCGCGAAACTTAACACCCGGCACACCACCACACGGATGAACACGTATGGATAATTCAATTAGCCAACAATTCATCATGTACGTATGGTCTATCTATATACAATCCTAGGGGAAAGATAACAATAAACGAGATGTTTCAAGTATACATTTATCGAGCACTGGCACGCATACCAAGCTAAGGACCTTTAACTTCCAATGCCACTTTGAATCCATAAACAGAATTCAATACCAGTTCTACGGATCGTAGGATGAATCCGCGAACTCTACGTCGACCTCGGTAAGGACATGGGAGCTGGCCTCAGCAAGGGTAGAAAGAATGCCAGTGTCAACACATCCGTGCAGGTTGAGCATTAGGCGAGAGATGAGAGTGACAGACACGCTGAGGTTCATAATTAGGGTCGTTCTGTATCTATCCCATCAACCACTCACCATGTAGTAAATTCGTTCAGGCTGCCTCTGGCGATATCCTTGCAAATTGTCAGAAATAGTCAACCTGGTGAAAACATGCGGGTGTGCTCACTGGACCGCACTAAATTGTGGTGAGTGTGCGATTGAATTAATAGTTTATTTGATGACTTACGAAGTACGTCAGAATGTTGGGTAAATTGACTAATGCCATCCCTCTAAGAGAAAGCAGATCAGCTTCACTCGCATAGTTTCGCTAGTACTCTCACGCAAAGTACATCACACCTGTGCTTAGTTGGTTCAGTGCTTACAATACTGGTGCGACGAACATACCATCTTGGAATATGACATCAAGGATATCTCTCCTGGATACGAGGGAGAACTGCGGCGATCCCCTAGCTTTCCAAGTCCCGAAGACTGTGAGGACAAAGATGATTAATTCGTAGATAAACATTGTCACCCATGTCGTCCCATGATCTGCAATTGGACAATTCCGTAGCGCCATCAATTTGCACCCAGATGTGACTTAGAATGCACTGACGCAAAGGTCTGGCAGGACTTTTGAGCAGGCATGTGGAATGATGAAGGGAATGACATACGTTGGTGTTGTGTATATTTCATGGCAGTGGCCGTTGTCGATCGCACTCTCTGTTAAATTATGTCTAAAAGCTCCCACCTAAAAGTTCAGCAGACTTGAAGTTCAAAATCTTTTGTGAACACGTACCACCGATGTTGCTATAAAAACAGCGCCCAAGATTAGCATCCATTTAAGCAGGCGCCTACTGCGGCCGTAGAGAGCATAAGTGCGAAGAGTCAATGTGACTGAAAATTCGAAAACTTCAGCGTATCTCTCTCGCAATAAACTTCTCACTCACGGCAAATGAAGACTTGTTGGAAAACACGTAACACGTGTATGACCATCACATAATTCCGACAGCTAAGTCTTTGATGAGTAAAATAGTAGATATTGAAGAAGCAAAGTTGAAACCTCTGTTGAGATACAATGAGCCTGTCAGTCGAATACACAGACAACATTGTAGAACCTCAGTTGAAACGGGTAGGAAAGTGCTCATTAGGACAAGGGTATTAACGAGCACGGCGACATAGCGATTGACGAGAAATAACACTGCAGACTTTGATTTTGGACGACGCCAGATAAACATGATTTCTTCTGGGAGGGTTGCCATGTGGTCGTATAGCAGGATACCTAAAATATTCAGTTATCGTCTTGAGAATCAAAATGGAAAGTCGCAGTACTAATTGCCACGAGAAGGGTGTATAAGTGCACTAACCTGGCAAATTGTAGTAACGTCAGTGCGCGATCAGCATACATAGTCAATCGATACGTTTATTACTCACACCTGCTGCGCTTCCAAGTCAGTAGTATACATCAGGAAGACAATATCATAGGAAGAAGGGGTGTTGAGACTCGATATCGACTGGAAAAATTTGACATTGGTATTATAAGGCCTGCCAGTGGTTGATTCAGGCCTGAATTGCCCCATTGTCAATCTTACGGGCCCGGCCGTCCTTCCGTAAATGACTGTAATACTGTATACGTGGACACTAAACCTTGATTTTCCTGATTTGGCTACCGTGGTCCACAGAATACTTATCCTCGTCCTGATCCTCGTTGTATAGAGCCCCAGTCAGCTTCCCAAACCCTCGAATAACCTTCCGATAGAGCAATATTCATACAGCGAGGATTAAGGTGAGGATACTCTGTGACAAGGTGTAGAACGTACGATTAGTGGTCAAATCAGGAAAAGGTTGAGTTCTTAGCCAGTGATCAGTAATCAATTTGACATGTTCAGGGACTCGACCCTGTTGGGAACCAATCTACTTCGGAATGGTAACAAGTCACTACACACAGTAAATGAGCCGTTTCTACATAGATATCGAGCCCGCATACCATGCTGCGTTCAAGAAAAAGACTCAAAGAACACTTCTTAACTTCCAACGACACTTCGCATCCATAAACGGAATCCAGTACCAGCCTACCAACGGTCTGAGGAAACCGTAAACTCTACGTCGACCCTGGTGGTAAGAATATCGGGGCTGATCTCGGCAGGGGTAGAAAAGATGCCAGTGTCAACACACCCGTGCAGGTTGAGCATCAGGCGAGAGATGAGAGTGGCAGACATGCTGAGGGTCATGCTTAGGATCGTTCCGTGCTTATCACAATTGAACCGCCCACCAAGTAGTAAATGGACCCAGGCAGCCTCTGATGATATCCTTGCAAATCGTTAGGAAATAGTCAACCTGGTGAAACCATGCGGATGTGCTCACTGGACCACACTAGATTATGATGTGAGTGTGCGACTAAACCAATATTTCATTCGTGGACTTACGAAGTACGTCAGAATGTTGGGTAAATTGACTAATGTCACCCCTCTAAGAGAAAGCGCATCAGCTTCACTCGCATAGTTTCGCTAGCACTCTCACGCAAAGTACATTACACCTGTGCTCGGTTGGTTCAGTGTTTACAATACCGGTGCGACAAAAATACCATCGTGGAATATGACATCAAGGATATCTCTCCTGGATATGAGGGAGAACCGCGGCAATCCCCTAGTTTTCCAAGTCCTGAAGACTGTGAGGATAAAAATGAGTAATTCATAGATAAACATCATTATCCAAGCGATCCCAGAATCTGCGATTAGACAATTCCTTAGCACCATCATGATGTGACTTAGTATGCACTAACGGATAGATCTGACAGGACTTTGAGTAGGCGTGCGGAACGACGAAGGGAATGACATACGATGTTGTTGGGTATGTTTCATAGCAGCCGCCGCCGCCGATCGCACTATTTACCGAGATATAACTGTAAGCTCTCGCCTAAAACTTCAGCAGACTCTAAAGTTTCAGATTCTTCGCGAATACGTACTAAGATCACTCCTGCCACAAGAGTAAAGCCGATAATCCCCATCCATATAAGCAGGCGCCTGCGGTACCCATAGAGAGCACAAGTGCGAAGAGTCAATGTGACTGAAAATTCGAAAACTTCAGCGTATCTATCTCGCAATAAACTTCTAACTCACAGCAAGTGAAGACTTGTTGGAAAACACGTAACACATGCACGACCATCACATATTTCCAACAGCTAAGTCTTCGATGAGTAAAATGGTAAATATTGAAGCAAAGTTGAAACCTCTGTAGAGATACAGTGAGCCTGTCAGTTGAATACACAGACAACATTGTAGAACCTCAGTTGAAACGGGTAGGAAAGTGCTCATTAGGACAAGGATATTGCCGAGCACGGCGACATAGCGATTGACGAGAAATAACACTGCAGACGTTGCTTTTGGACGACGCCAGATAAACATGATTTCTTCTGGGAGGGTTGCCATGTGGTCGTATAGCAGGATACCTAAAATATTCAGTTATCGTCTTGAGAATCAAAATGGAAAGTCGCAGTACTGATTGCCACGAAAAGGGTGTACAATTGCACCAACCTGGCAAATTGTAATGTTAGTTCGCAATCGGCATACACAGCAAATGAATGGGTTTATTACTCACGCCTGCTGCGCTTCAAATTCAGTGGAATACATTAGAAAGACGATATCATAAGAGGAAGAAGGGATGTTGAGACTTGAGATTGACCGGAACGTTGACGGTTTGATCTTGGTGTTATATCATATAGCCCGCATGTTTCACTCTCCTCCACAAACATCAATCATCAGATCAGTTATCCATTGTATCCGGTAAGGGCGATCACGCTGAGCGGCAATGGGGCAAAGCCTTGCGAGTTGCGAGTCGAAAGCAGTGCATACTAGTAGAGGGCGATGTTCCACGTTACTAGTCCATTTACTAATTAGTGTGTTGCTAGCGCGTGGATGATTCCTCAGGCCCTTACGCTGTGCCGCCATAGTGATTGATCAAGGTCCAAGGCCAGCGGGACAAAATCGACCGTTTCGGTAATACTTGGGCCTAGACTAGCTAGACACTGGAAAGTCTGGAAACGCGGTGCAGCACTAGTACACTGGTCGGCAGTCGGGAATTCGGAATCGGATAGTGGCATACGCTTTGCCCAGCTACGTCCACCGGCCGTATCTTGCACGTTCTGTTGAGAATAACCACAAGTTCTTATACCCTAGCTAGGATAGAAAGATAAAATTCTGGGGAAGCGAACATGTCCGACGGTCTTATTTTTCGGTAAGTTCCGATCGTACATAACTCCGCTAGTCGTTGCAGTATGCACAGGTCTACTGATTGAACTGTCAATTTGAACATATGCCTCGAATCTCAATGCATTCACCGCGTTAGGTGCCAGCTGGGAATCGGCAAGATATCCATGGTAATCATCAGAATGAACTCTTCTGCATATCGTTGGAACGGGCACGGACTGCTAGGGAACCAAGGCCAGACCTCTATGGCGGGAGGCTACGGCTCTGTCTATCGAGGACAGACTACGACACGCGCGAGGACTACCGACTACGAGCCAGGACTCCTGCCACCGCGCCAGGACCCCTGCCACTCCCGTCCTGTACTGCCAGAGCGCCCCGCTCCATCGTCTGTAAAATTACAACACGCTAACTAAAAGCAAGAAATTTCGCAACCAGGAACAGGATCCAATCAGCCAGAATCAGCTTGAAAGTTGTAAGAGAATTCGACATCGAGTCTGGTGGTAAAGACATTGGGGCTGGAGCCATCGTTCCGGATGGCAGTGGATAAAATTCCGTCATCCGTGGATTTGTGCAGGTGAAGCACTAGTCGAGAGACGAGAGTGACGGACATGCTAGGTATGTTATTCAAAATCGATTCCTGTTGATCGCATCAATCACTCACCAACCAGTAAATGTGGCTAGATTCCCTCTGGCGATATCCTTGTCAATCGTCAGGAAGTAGCTGGTTGTAAGATGTAGTGCGTGCTCACCGGACCACACTAAACCATGATTCCAACTCGAATGACTGCGTTGATTTTATGCTTGTTCTCGTTAGTGCTGAGATTGTACTCGGAGCTGAGAATGTTATATACCAAGAAGACATGCAGGTCTGTTGATGAAATCCATCTCCTTAGCGATCTGGATGTGCACAAGGTGCGCCAAATTCGTGATAATCAAATTCAAGTTAAACCGAGCCAGTGGGTTGTAGCGATCCAGCAGGAAGGACGATCAGTAGATTATCGATTATTATTGCATAGAATCAAATATTGGTCACTACTGAGCGCTGAGCATTCTTGGAGCCTCGACATGGCCATTTCTGAGCGGAACGCAAGGATGCTCGTCAACGCAAGTCAGAAATGCTATTTTGCAGTGAGTGTGCCAAATTACATGACCCGGACGTGGCATAATGTTATGTAATGAGCTGAGCGCGTAATCAGCCAATTTAACATTTGTCACTAGCTATTGCATGTTCGAAAAAAAACTTCAAATGGCTAGCTTCTTCCTGCATTACCCGGACCATGGAGAATAATATTCAGCACAGTATAAAAAGCTATCTTCTTACTGCCTCTGTTTGACCCTATATCACATCCTCAAACAATGCATCTCTCTGTTATTGCCGTTGCTTCCGCTTTGGTAGCATCAGTATCTGCCAGTCCCATCAACATTGATAGTACCGGAAAGTGTCCTGCATTCTGCGCATACCAAACTTGCTGCGATGGGCAGACATGTAAGGTTGATGACGCTACACTGGGCCCATATGTAAGTATAAGCATTTTGCAGCTTGAATTTTAAACACACGACTCACCGGCGTGGTAGCCTATCTTGATATGTGTGTCGGACAAATGAGTGCCATGTCGTGACAGTGAACTACGGTGAGTCGTATTTCTACTACAATCAGCATCGGTGCAGAAGATGGCTGATGGCACGACATACGAATTACTACTAGTTGAGTTGATCAATGTCTTGCTTTCGAGCAATAGAGATTTTGGAATAGGGAAAATACTTGAATACATACAATGTGACTGAAGTACTTATGAGTTTTGCAGTCTCGTCATGCGTTTGAACATTGGCACCACGACTCCGAATCCTCCCCTCATAGGCGCTGCATTGGCCCACTGGGATGTATCACGGCCCCACTAGATGGTGGTATGTATCGAAAGTTGTCATTGTCAAACTGCGAAAGCTCAAGGTCCAAAAATCTGCTATGGAAGTAGGCCGCTGTTAGGGATCCATGTACTTCCGACTATGGATGTATGGAAACGACAATATCGTAGATCTGCGAAGGGAAGACTAGACGGTCATAAACAACATCAGTAGTTTGTAACTACAATGTTCTGTTGTTCCGTCCAGAGCTGTATCCAAGTGCGCACTCTTTCCCTTTCTTTTCCTTCAGGCTTATCATGGCCCGGCTCATTTCTCGATGCGCACATCCCACCACAAGACATACGGGCCTTGGCCGGTGGATGATGATGACCAACTTCATTGACCACAGTGATCGGCCTACTAATGATGTTGAATAATATCAAATTCTCTACGATTGGTATCATCCAGATTAATCATCCTCCCGCTAATATTTATCACCACCTGTTTATAACAATCCCGTACACCCGAAGTGCCCGTGCCAGGGCCAACCTCAGACTCAAGTATTGTTGAGGAGCTCACTCATCACCTTCGGCCAGCTGTATTCTACAATCATCTGTATACATACTTTACTCGGTCCCGTACAGATTATCGTGTTAATCAACGCCTTGACACCTTCAATCGAATTTGTTGAAAAGAAACTCCCGCACCTCTTTTTATCTAGTTGCCACATGTTCGAAAATGAACTTCGAATTCCTGCGTCACCCGGACCATGAAGAATAATATTCAGCACAGTATAAAAAGCTGTCTTCCTACTGTCTCATTCAGATCAATTTGAACCTATATCACATCCGAGTCCTCAAACAATGCATCTCTCCTCTGTCATTGCTGTTGCTTCCGCTTTGATAGCATTAGTATCTGCCATTCCCACCAACATTGATAGTACCGGAGGGTGTCCTGAACTTTGTGCGTACAAAAATTGCTGCGTTGGGCAGACATGTAAGATCCAGGGCGCTATAGGCACAGATGTGAGTATAAGTATTTTGCGCCTTGGATTTAAACACATGACTTACCGGTGTGGTAGCCTATCTTGATGTGTATGCCAGACGAATGAGTGCCATGTAACGACAGTGAACTATGGTGAGTCGTGTTTCTACTTCAATTAGCATTGGTGCGGAAGATAGCTGATGGCACGACATACGGATTACTACTAGTTTTGATCGATGTCTTGCTTTTGAACAAATTTTACTGCCGCTCGAGCAATAGAGACCTTGGAATAAGGAAATTCTCAAATACTTAAATACATAGAATGTGATTGGAGTACTTACGAGTTTTGCGGTCTCGTTATACCTAGAGAAAGTGCCCTGTGCAAGTACTGTAAGGTATACAGCGGAGCCCGACACTCATAGCTACAGTATTTTTATGTAATGTTCTGACATCCATCATGCATGTTGTGAACAGAAGTCATGTCTCAATCTTTTTGGAAGACGGTATATGACTCATATTTTGCTTGTATTGATACTCCGATTTGAGAGCAAAGATGACTGAGTTCAACCTACTTCTTATGATGTAGTTACAACTCAACCAGTACGCAGGGCCCCAATGGTAAGACACCGTCCCTGTCGGGCGGTTCGAAAGTCGTTTAGCTACCAGCAGCACATCCAGCAGTGGGTGTTTACATGCTTAGGTGTCCCTGTGTCACAGTTCGAAGGCGGTTTAGATGTGCACGGGCCCTCACAGGCTTCCTCCTGTCGAGAAGAAATCATCGGCACTGTAGTGGCACTGGCGACATTGGATGATTGGAAGCGACAAAAATTGTGAGGAAAACGATTTGAGCGACTTTCATGGTATCTGGTATAACTATGCATCAGTCTGTGATACGATCATGCTAGGAAAATCACACACCGACGGAAAGTTTGATCGTGCGATATGCGCGAAGTTACTATGACAAAGGATTAGAAGAGCTACTAGTTATACATCCGTTCAATAAAATGCATAGTGTATCGTAAGAGGACTACTCACTGCAACAGGAAGTGCTCGTCTGAGGCCTTTTCAACCCGACCGCATTCGTTTTATACCTGTTCTCGTCAGTGGTGAGATTATAAAAAGTTTTATACCATATATGCAGCTCTGCTAATGAAATTCGTCTCCTTGGCAAGCACATCGAGTCGTTGATATTCAAATCGAGCCATTCCACGATACTCACAGCTACAGCATCTCCAATGTTCTGACATCCATAAGGTCAAAGCCACGTCTCAATCTTTTTTGAAGATGGTATGACTCATTGGAGAGCAAAGATGACCGAGTTCAACCTACTTCTTATGGTGTAGTTACAGCCCAGAGCAGCACATCCAGCACCCAGGGCTGGTATTCGTAGGCTTCATTCCTTTCGGACAGCTCGTAGGCGGTGTAGACTGGCACGTGTCAACACAGGTCCAATGTACTTGTCGAGAAAAAATTGTCGGCACTGTAGCGGCACTGGCGACATTGGAACCGACAAGAATTGTGAGAAAAACGATTTGAGCGACTTTCATGGTATCTGGTATAACTATGTATCAGCCTGTGATACGATCATGCTTATAGGAAAACCACACACCGATGGAAAATTTGATTGTGCGATGTGCGCGAAGTTACTATGACAAAATATCAGAAGAGCTGTTATACATTCGTTCAATGAAATGCACATAGTGTATCGTAAGAGGACTACTCACTGCAACAGGAAGTGCTCGTCTGAGGCCTTTTCAAGTCAACTGTGTTCGTTTTATACCTGTTCTCGTCAGTGGTGAGACTATACTCGGAGAAGCTTTATACCGAGAATATGAAATTCGTCTCCTTGGCAAGGCGCATCAAGTCGTTGATATCCAAAAATCTACGAAAGGGATTTGAACCCGGTCTTGGCGTCTCGTGGCTGCCTAGTGGCTTTGGCTGGCAGCCAAGTGATATCTTTGGCGTTACGCTACATGCTGAACTCTTGCCTCATGTTGACCCTCAGGGCATACTGCACATGTCCATGTACAGTCTCGAAGTACAGAAAGTTGGAGAAAGCTTGAGTTTCGCGTCTGTTGCGGTAGAGCATGATGATCTCAATATTGAGATCCACCTCATGCCACGCTATGCCGAGCTCTTCCGTAAAAGGCCACGAGTCAGACCGGAATACACATATATTATTGGGGGGATATTGCAACCTTCCAATAGCGGCCGCGACCCTGCCTTCTTTGGTCCATCGTGACCTAGCTTGCGACAGCAAATCGCAAATAAGGAGCGCAAGGAAAGACAGGCGTTCTTGAATCGGAAAGCGGAAAAGGGACAGGGCGAAGTTGTACTGGCGACCTTTGTGGAACAGAGTTGGTCGTTTGAAGGTGTCCCCAACTGGTGGTTCTGGCTTTTACTAGCAACCGATGATGAAGGAAAGACATGGAGAAGATTCGGAATAGCTATCAGCCACGAAGTTAATACTGACTCAATCGCACGAAAGAGATTTAGTATTCGGTGATATGAAAATACAAACTACTACGTACTGTGTAGATCATCATGTATACGTAGAGATTCGGAGTACTTGCTAGAAATAATCTCGAGTCATTTTTTTGACTCCGGAGTCCGGACTCGGAGAGCCGGAGGACATTGACACTGCCCAATTAGGACAAAGCTTCCTTCTTAACCACTGTCGAGCACCGCAGCGGCACAGCTGGGCAGTAATATCGGTGCAGTTTGAGCTATACGTGAGCCTGCGAACATTTAGCTCAAACAAGTGCTTACTAAGCGAGCGAACGCGCGTCAGAAGACGCGTTTGTTAAACGCCGTCTTGCATTTCACTTCTATCTCGCGTTCGCTCCCTAGATTTCTCACCCGCCCACCACTTCCCCTAGGTGTTTTAGCAGCGTTTTTGGGTTGTGTCGTGTTTCAGAAAACTTCCCAAATACCTCTGCTTCACACTCGAGGGTTTCTGGCTGTGTCCTTTCGCCTGGTCGATTCTTCTCGCGCTTGGCTTCTCGCGCACCTTCGTTCTCGTCTTTTGCTTGCTGTAGACAACATTTCCCTTCTCCGCGCACACTTTCTCGCGCGCATTCAAATCTCGTCTATTGCTTGCTCTCGACGAAAACCTCACTCCTCTCTCGTCGACCCAGCGGATATCTGTGTCTGCATTGCCCGGCAAAAGCCGAAACAGACAGCAGCCGAAACCCCCACCCCCAACTGACGAAATTCATGTCGATGCTCATCGCACTTAATCTATACTAAGTTTAGTACCAGTAGAACCTTTCCACTATGTTAATAGAACGCACACGGTCTGCGAATTCTGTAGCATCCTGTCTCGTACGAAAATGTTTGCTCTTCGCAGACCGCACTTTGTACATAGCTCAACGAGCCTTAGTAAGCATCCCTTTTATCTTCATCTTCATCTTTGTCGCCCCCTGTTTTCACGTTCATCATAACGGCAACAGCAATGGTCGGTCGTTTCAACAGCCTCTCAGACGGACCACGAGCAAGAGTAGGCATGGTCGAACATTTTCAGATAAATTCAAACATCCACATTAATGCTCAAACAGCATGAAAATACGTCCAAAAGCAGCTTTGTTGTGATTGGCTCCGAACTAGTAGGTATCGCACCATCAATCATGATGCCAAAGCGAAAGCAGAAACATGACTCACTGTCGCGATGTGCCCCCCGTGCTACCGGCCCAATTTCAAACCGACTACTACTGGCAGATCAAAACTGGGTCTAATCCCGCACCCTAAGGCATGCAGGTGAGTCATGTGGTTGAACCCAGGTTGCACAGCGACCTGCTCATACTCACGGAAGCACCGGCACAAATCAAGCCATCGCAGCAATCGTAATACGTTTTAAATTTTGCAACGTTGATTCGCAGTTAAACATGCACTGACAAACATAGATACTGTAAAGCAACAACAACGGCAAGGAGGGAAGAATGCATTTTCTGTACGAGATGATATAATATTTTAAGGGGGTTTTCGAATGATATTTCTGACGATGGCGGAATACTATTATAAGACAACGGCCAGCTTTTATATCATGCATATACTAATCTGCTCGATTCTGATCGTTTGTGGAATTGTCATTGCTGTCAGATCGCAGAAATTTACCTGCAGGAGCGTGTTTGATTGATTGCGACTACGCTACAGTGTATTAGAAGCCATGTCTCAATCTTTTTTGAGGCGGTATATGATTCATTTGAGAGCAAAGATGACCGAGTGCAACATACTTCTTATGGTGTAGTTATAGCTCAACCAGTACGTAGGGCCCCAATAGTAAGACACCGTCCCTGTCGAGCAGTTCGAAAGTCGTTTACACCAAGGAGCTAACCAGGCATGCAGCACATCCAGCAATTGGGGCTTGTATTCTTAGCCGACATCCCTGAATCACAGTTCGAAGGCGCTGTAGACTGGCACGGGCCAATACAGTCTGACGTTTGTCGAGAAGAAATTGCCGGCACTGTAGTGGCACTGGCGACATTGAAACCGACAAGAATTGTGAAGAAAATGATTTGAGCGACTTTCATGGTATCTGGTATAACTATGCATCAGCCTGTGATACGATCATGCTAGGAAAATCACACTGACGGAAAGTTTGATCGTTCGATGTGCGCGAAGTTACTATGTCAAAGTATTAGAAGAGCTGTTATACATTCGTTCAATAAAATGCACATAGTGTACCGTCAGAGGACTACTCACTGCAACAGGAAGTGCTCGTCTGAGGCCTTTTCAACTCAACCGCGTTCGTTTTATACCTGTTCTCGTCAGTGGTGAGACTATACTTGGAGAAAGTTTTATACCGAGAATATGTGCAGCTCTGATAATGAAATCCGTCTCCTTGGCAAGGCGCATCGAGTTGTTGATATTCAAATCGAGCCAGCGGACCGCGGTGATTGCAGGAAGGATAATCGTTGAGGCAAAATAACGAAACGTTTGCATCACCCAATGTTGCTGAGCGCTCTTGGAGCTTGGCCGTTTCTGAGCAGAGGGCAGGGATAGTGGCCAAGAAACAACTTCAAGTTGTCACTGGTAGAACTTGTCAGCCATGTATGGGTCAGAAGAAAAATGAAAATCAGGCGTGGTAGCTATATGCATGCAAGTAATCTTTGAGGTGACATTCAGTGGCAATGAGCTGACTCCGAATTGTTAATGCCGTATCAATTTCACTTACCCACCGTATTGTTGTTTACGCACACATCACACCACGACATACCATGGATGACCAACAAGTTCGTTGACGGTGGTCGGTCTAACGATGAAACGGTATCAAGTTCTCTGCAATCAGCCTAATCCTCCTGCTAATCATGCTGCCCGTCTATATCCGGTTAGTTAGTGCTTGCCAGGTGGTAGAGTTGAATATGACTTGCTTACTGGGAAGCTCTAACCCATCGGGCCTGTGCAACTTCTCCTCACAACATTTGCCTCCATTGAGTCTACTCTCTCATGCGTAGAAGCTCTGACCCATCAGGTCTTGCGTCGACTCTTCCATGTGTGGGGTCCAATCCTAACGCCACATTTCTACTGTTCACTATTTCATAATACGGAGAATCCGTGCTCATCTTAGGCATTACATGCCTCGAAGTCATGTCGAATGTCTTGAATCGTCGTCAATAGGCAAGTTGTTTTGTAAGGACCTAGTAGTCATACGCAACTCAGTGACAGCTAAACGACACGTCATTACCGCAGCCTTCGGCCCCGTCCCCATGTTATAAGGACCTGCAGATCCAAAACCTTGGAATTCAAACCAACTAATCTTTCTGCCAGTGTCTTGAGCGCTGTACATGAACTCTGTTCATACTCCCGTGCTGTCGTAAGTGACCTGCTTATGTCACATGTCTGCACCTCAGCTGAATTCCTTGCCGTTAGGTTGGCGCCGGGCCAGTGGGTCTGGTAGCTCCAAAACGGTATCTCAATTCGCATCATCGATAAAGACCCCACCCTCGCATCGGACACCGTGGTTCTGGAATATGGGTTTGTCGCACACCCACTTGTCCCACCGTGTGGTCTCATTGAATACATGTTCTATGTAGCCACGCTCCCTCGAACTCTACAACTTCCTGGACGTTTCAGAAGTTAATAGTCGGGGAAAATCAGCCCTTCTCGTCCGTTCATACAAGCCTGGCACGTTGGAACCTCTGCAAGACTTATCGATAGTCTAGCGTGTGGAACCTACTCTAGCAATACCATTCGTGCGTAACACCGTCGCCTGATCAAACCTTCATGCTGATTCGATTTTTAGCAAGTCCCAAAATTGATACAGCTCCTGGATGTGATTCTGCGACGCCATCTGCAGAAGTTCTCTTGTTCTGTTGAGATGGACACCGGGCTGCGCTCATTCGAACAGTCCGATGAGGGTGTCACTACTATTCTAGCAAACAACGGCATATCAGAGACTTTTGACACCAAGTGGATCATCGGCGCAGTTCAATGTACCGGGATGAACGAAACTGAAGGTGGCTTTGAAGGTATCGTGCGCAAGCAACTTGGGCTCACATTTTTAGGCGAGACTAGAGACGACACCCGGGTTGTGACTGGAGATATCTGCTTGATAGGCGTTGGTCTCGATAGAATGGTACATCCGGTTTCTACAAATTGGATCAAATGCTGTCCTAATTCAATCTTTGAAGCATTGGCACCGATTTGGAAACTTCCTTGAAGGGTATGTTTAGTGAAGGCTTGGAGACGTGTATATCGATGGTGTAAAGGGTCTCATTGCGTCCAACAGACGAAATTGGCGATGACGGCTACCAATTTTTCCTCTTCGGCCGCGAAAAAAACTTGACCTAACGAAGATTGCTCAGAGCGAGGAGCTTGTCTTCGAGACCATTGCGTCGCTAATACCAACAGAGATCACATTCAACAAGGTGGTTTGAATGAGCGACTTCCGGTGCTCTTTGTGTTTCTGTTGATGCACACTCATCGGTTCATTCCAGGGCCAATGTGCGGATGGTGAATAAGTTTGGCGAGGGTCGAGTGTTCGTTGCGGGCGGTATGTGATTCGGTTCAATATGTCTGTGGGGGTACCCGTGCATGTCGTCTTAGATGCTGCTCAGTATGTCTATCTTTTTGAATGTCTTCTCGCTAACTGCTGCTAACATATTTAAGTATCCACAGCCCAACGGGTGGACAGGTATGGTTGATCCATTGTTGCTAATATTCGCTCATTTGTCTATGAACAGGGACTCGATTCAGGTGTACAAGATGCAGTGAGCCAGGTGGATGTAGTATGTGCGTTACAACTGGCCGCGCCCTACACCAGTTCAATCTAGGATGGAAACTTGCGCTTGTTCAAAAAGGGATCGCTAACAAATCTCTTCTCGAGACATACAGTGCCGAGCGTCTTCCTGTGATCTCAGAGATGCTCGAGGTTACCACCTAGATTATCGACAGGACAATAACGTCTGGGGACATAACAGCCAGACGAAGTCCCATCCTTTACATGCTTGGCATCAACTGCTGATTCAGCATCGTCGTACTCGATGGATTCGTGGCTTCAGTGAAGCCTATCAACGCATATGGAGTGCTTGACGAGGGGAACCTGGAGGCTGATGACAGGGCACCTGATACACCCAATATACTGCAGGTGGGGCGCGCCGAGCCTGACGCGACGACGCTTTTTGGTTTGTACAGACCCTGGTACCACACAATACCTGTATTTGCGCCGAGTCTCGCTGATGCTACCCCGATCTTGGGTGCACTGGAGGCATACGACAAAAGTGTCGTACGATTGGCAGTCGTTCTGCCATCGTCGGCATCAGTGACGCCTGTCGCATCTCCTATTGACCTCATTGACCGAGAAGGCTATGCTTGTTCGGCTTACCTCGTGGAATTTGGCCAGACGAAAGTGTTTGTGATACGGCCGAATGGAGTTATTGGGGCGATAGTCCATGGTGCAGAAGGCGTGCATCAGGGAAACGTAATTCATTACACATGATCACAGAGTGCTACAGAGCGCTCTGTAGCATTCTGTACGATCCAGCCCGCCGATGTGAAGAAGTATTTCTCAAAAATATTTTTCGATACGTAGTGGCCTGAATGTGCCTTTGACTTTACAAGTACAACTCATTCCTGTATACCTCATTCAATGTCATCTCATGTACGCGTTCGAAAACATAGAATGATAGTGCCATACCACCAAAACATATACGAGGGAAAAGCATATGACAAGAAATGTCCAACATAGGGTCTACGACCCCAAAGGACTCAATCTGATGCAAAAAAAAATGTCATCTCATATTAAAGACGCGACAGCGGCGATACTCATTGGAGTAACTATATTGTCTTGTTATCACTTGTAGCATGCCATCAGGGAAACGTAATTCATTACACATGATTACAGAGTGCTACAGAGCGCTCTGTAGCATTCTGTAGCACGATCCAGCCCGCTGATGATGTCCTCTCCCAAAGTCTGGTTCAGTAAGCCCTTTTCCGACTCACATGCCAGCTGATACTAAGCATCACGTACAGTAACGGGGACGTCCTCAGGATTTGGAAGACTCATGACAGAGTATGCCCTCGACCAAGGAGACATCGTAGTAGCAACCCTCCGCAAACCACAAGTCCTATCCGATCTCGCAGCCCGATACCCAGTAGACAAACTCCTCGTACTCAAAGTCGACGTCACAAAGCAGGAAGACATCGATGAAGCATTCGCGCGTACGCGTTCAGCGTTCGGACGGCTGGACGTAGTGTTCAACAATGCCGGATATTCAATTGTCACAGAAATCGAAGGCACGCCCGTTGATAAAGCGCGCGAGCTTTTCGAGACAAATTTTTGGGGCGCGACGAATGTTAGTCGTGCTGCAGTGAAGTTTTTCAGAGAGGTGAATGAGCGGGGCAAGGGGGGGACCATTCTTCAAATGAGTTCGATTGGTGGGTTTAATGCGCTTCCTGAATTCGGTTATTATGCTGCGACGTGAGTGTGGTCTACACGTGGTGTTGATTGAGATGATGCTTATGTGTTTGCAGTAAACATGGTAGGAATCTTGGCATGGACAGTGTTCATGACTGATTGGCTGTGCAGCACTTGGAGGCTTCACGGACAGCCTTTCAAAAGAGTTACCGCCTTCATGGAACATAAAGGCATGAACCTCTGACAGACCAATAGATTAATACTCACGACAAGAACCAGATCTGCATCATCGAACCTGGCGCGTTCCACACAAGCGTCATGAACAAGGCAGAGGTATTACCGCAGCATCCAGCATATACCGATGAGTCCTTTGAGACTTCAGTAATGCGTCGTCAGGTGGTCGGCGCAGTGTTCGAAGGAGATGCGTATAAATTCACGCGGACTGTTTATGAGGTCGTACAAGGAGGAAATATACCAAAGCGGTTGCCGATGGGGTTGGATGCGATCGAGTTGTTGAATGGCAAGATTGAGTTATTGAAGGCGACTGTGGCTGAGACGAAGGGGTTGTCGGTGGATTTGAAGAGAGATGGTGGGGCGGTTGGGCTTATGTGAGATGCACCCGAGTTGTGCTGTGCATTGTAATAGAGTCCACGGGTCATCAGTGTTTGACGTCTGACTTCGTGCGCAGGAGCTCCTCAAAGGAGGCCAAGTTCAAGCTTGAAATTTGACCGTTAAGAGTATTGAACAGAAATTATAAGAAAATGCAGACTCCCGATAGGTCGGATCCATTGAGCGCCGGATGAGTTAGTTTTGTCAGACAGGAGTCGACGGAATTTGAAGGTGCACAACTCTAAACCGTGTATGATCACATCCTGGATCTTGGTGAGCGCCTCTAACTCAAACTACTGTTGTCTGAACTGTTCAAGCACCAGCAGCTTGAGTTTTGAATGACACTCCGTGCCAAGCACCCAAGACGCTGTAAATTTTATGCCGAGTACACCTCTAACGTTAGGTTGCACATACATCTTGACTGTCTTCGTGATCCGAGAACTGTGGCCATGATGCAAGTTCAAGTCTGCGAGGGAATTCAACATTACATAATACAAAAGTTGGAACGTGACTCGGCGTTTGAAAATTTGATCAGTCATGCATAACGGTTCATTGCATGCCATATTCACATTGATACTCAAGCTACGTCACAGCGCTCCTTCACGCCCTCTTGCGCACAACATGCTGAGTGGGCAGCAGGAAAAGACAAGGCCTACTCAGTCTCCACACTTAGGCGTGAGGTGATTCCCATCATTAACCACCACACAGCAATTTGAGCAGGAACACGGCGTATATGATATGATACAATTGTCCGATCCGGTCCACAGTGAAAACCAAAATCGTTCCCGTTATTAAAGCTTTGCAGGCTGTTGCGCACCCCACTGAATCTGTGAATAACCGTGAGTACGCGGTCTGCACATAAGCCGTAAAAGTACTCACTACGGGGTTGCAGGGTCTGTTCAAGGGCGTCACGGTACCTGCATTAGATGCAATAGCTATACCAGCCATCGCTGCGGCAGATACTATGACAATAGTGGTGAGTGAAGTGAATTTCATAGTCGAATGTCGATGGTGTTTTCTGGCCCGCATAGGTTGGCTTGTCATACGTTATCAGTGTCAGGTACAGCCAAACCATTTCATGTGCCTGCATCGCCGGATGCTGGTGTAGGGGAAAAACTACTTGAAGTCAATTTCGCCGGATAGCTTACCTGCATAACAGCAAGTTTACGACACATCCGGTGGAAAAAGAGAGCAAGCGAATGAAATGCTATATTCACGGTAGTAGCAATTCGAGCCGTTCTCAACTCGTTCTAGGTGCTCAAATTGTCTTTGATCAGTGACACGAGGGGGCATCATCCGTCCTCTAGCGTTAATTACTTTAGGGATGTCCGTTCTGATGTTCTATTGAATTCAAACCCTACCATTCCCGTTATATCTCCGCGAGTCTTGGATACTCTGGAGTTCTGCCACCTTTCCTTTGCGTGAGTTTTGCCAGGCTGGTTGGCAAAATACATTACTCGGAATTCGAACAGATTCCAGCTCACGCCCTGTGGCATAATTTTCTTCTAGCATGCGAAATCCACTCCGGCAATACCATTTGTGTGCAACACTGTCCCCTGATCAAAGCTTCATGCTGATTCGATTTTCTAGCATGGCCCAAATCGATGGGTCAACAACTCCTAGATGTGATTTTGCGACACCATCTAGAGATATTTTCTTGTTCTGTTGAGATGGACACCGAACTGTGCTCATTCGAACAGTTCGATGGGGGCGTCACTATTTCGTGATGACGCTTTCTGGTTTGTACAGACCTTGGTACCACACAATGCTTGTATTTGCGTCGAGTCTCGCTGATGCTACCTCGATCTTGGGTGCACTGGAGACATACGACAAAAGTGTCGTACTATGATTGGCAGTCGTTCTGCCATTATTAGCATCAGTGACGCCTGTCGCATCTCCTGCTGACCTCGTTCTTGTTTATCGAGAGGGCTATGCTTATTGGCTTGTCTCGTGGGGGTTAGCCGGACGAAGGTGTTCGTGATATGACCGGACGGAGTGATTGGGGCAATAGTTCATAGTGCAGAAGGCGTGAATTATTTCCAAAAATATTCTTCGATCCGTAATGACCCGAATACTCCTTTTTTTTCCCTTTACAAGCACAACTCATTCCACGGACAGCTTCGTTGTTGAGCAAATATGATTGTCTCTATTGCGGAAAACCCATTGTTTTAAAAAGGTGGACATGGCTGTTACGATGGATACCACTGATGGGCATACTAATCGCGTTCTTGCCATAGACTAGGGTCACGAGGCAGGGCTAAAGAAGTACCGATAGCGAAAAATGCAAGTCCCATGTAGAAATAGTATGCCAACCATGCATCGCGACCTTCCTGCATCGAATAAGAAAAACTCGCTGCACATACTGGTGCAATAATCCTCGCCGCTCCGCTAACCAACTGAACAACGCCATTAGTTGCTCCAATCGAGGCGCGATTAGGAGCAGCTGCTCTAGTAAACAATGCTATACAAGCTAAGAATGCATTTCGATTAAGCAGAACACAGGAAATACTGAGATATTGACATACGGGCGCACATATCCAAGATAATTATTAGCACATGTTGAACGCCAATGGCCAACCACGTCGCGAAGCTCATCCCATGGGCTCGAGCCAGAGCATTGATCACCGGGAATAAAAGGATAACGGGTATGCTGGAGCCGAGACCAACCATATATATGATGTGTGCGCCCAAGCGGTCGTGTAAACGAGCATAGAAAAGGAACTGGAATATGCCACTGGCAAAACCTGCTGTTGCAAATATAACGCCAATGCGAGGAGGGTCCAAGGAAACACCACCGAATTCAATCGGCGTCGTATAGAAAAGTGGTAGGAGCTTGTTAATCGCAACAAGAAAAAGGGTCAAAGTGCCAGAACTTGCTGCTACGGTCAGGACCTTCGGAGTTAGTATAGCACTAAGTGACTTTGATAAGACCTCTTCAGTGTTCGCTTCCGAAGAACTGATAAGAGTATCCCTCGATAGCGCGGACTGCTTTGTATATGACCGTTGCGATAGCCATTGTTTCATCATCTCCAAAAACGGCGCCTTGGTCGAAACACTCTTGTTACCGCAGTCAGTACGATCCAAATACGACTTTCAAAATTTTGCTAACCTCCTTGAGACGGAAATACATAACTAGCCAAAGAATAGAGGAACATAGAGCTGGAACGGCGCATGCCAAAAGGTATGGGTAGGTTTTCAGGAGTTCAGATTGCCCAAATATTTCAGGGAATCTGTCTGCTGGTTGTGAGAGTGATCCACCAACAAGTGGCCTAGAATGTTGTAAATCCTACTTCAAGAGCAAGCAGAAACACTCAATACACCTACCCAATGATGGCGGCCAACATCGATGGAAGTGGCACGTATCCGTATGCCTTTGGCAAATTGGTTGCATCAGTGATGTCCATCATCATGCTTTTGATGACTCCACTTTCTCCATTGAATGCCCCGCAGATAACACGGCTGATCAGGATATCAGCAATTGACTTGGTAAACGACAGTCATGATGACGATGCATCTGAGATGCGAACCTGACCAGCAGACCGCGAAAGGTTTTTGACAACCCAAACGATATCATTGTAGTCGCTATCGCGAATGAAGCAGTGAGTATTACAGGCTTCCGCCCAATGCGATCAGACAGTCGACTCCAATAGAGAACAACCAGCGTTTGAGGGATATAGTATGATAAGTCCTCGAGATGACATCAGTAAGGGACATAGGACGTTGAAGGGTAAAAACATGCTCACCAAGAAGCTGACGTAGTATCCAACTTGTTGTTCGTCTCCGTTGGTCACGCCAATGTCTTTGATTAGCTTCACAAGATTCTGTTTGGCCGATCTTCGACTCCAAGCAGAAGACAGTATGTACTCACTCGGGGGATGAATGGGGCAAGAGTCTTAAAAACAAGCGACTGAGAAAAATGCAAGACCAATATGATCCAGAACTGATCCCAAGGCAGAGGTGTCTTGGCTGCTATCAGCTGCTCTGGCTGTAGGAGAAGGGATGTCTCCTCATTATCTTGGCGCGGTATCATGGTTGTGACAAAAAGTAACCTGACAGGAGAATTATGATGGGTCCAATATATGTAAACTCGAGGTTCCAATGAGGTAGTCACTGACCGGCTCGTTGGGTGAGCATCGTGTTCTTGCTGATTGATTATTACGTGGAAAGTACTGTATCGGGATAGGTACGTACCCCAGCTACCCCATGCTGCGAACACGCACGTCCAGTGTCTGGCACTGATAATACTAGTGGGGTTTGGGCGGTCAGTCAACTAGTCACCTGTGACAAAGTGTCGATGGACTTTGTCCCTTTGCAGTAACTGCCGCTGTAACTTGGCTGTAACCGGAACTTGCCGAATGTATCAACCGCAGCGGTCTCGTAAAAGGGACTCTTGCCAGGTACCCGGTATTCTACGACTCTGGCCAGTCTGGGACTGGATCCTAAGTTCTAACGCTCACATCTATGCCTCATGTTGTGTCAACGTCACCTCGGCTTTGTCCTTGAAGCTTGAAAGTCCGTTTTAGTCCTTGACTTCATAGGCAAGGTCGGACAGCATTTGGAAGAATCAATGAGGATTCAAAACCGAATGGACTTCTTTCTTAACTTTTCAAAATTCGAAGGATTCATGATGGAGAAAGACAGCAGTAGCCTGAGTTTCCGAGTGAGAATAGCACTGTGCCGAGTGCCCAAGACGCTGTGAAGTTTATCCCGATTGCACCAAGTCTTCCCGCTACCGTTAGGGTGCACATACGTCTTGACTGTCTTGGCCTGGCTTAATATTAATTTGTGGTCGTCTACAAGGAAAGGTGCCCCGAGGGCCGAGTCCCGTAAAAATGACATTACGTAATACGAAATTCAATCGTTGGCTCCAGCTTCAACTTGAATGCATGCGCATTGACACTCAGTACTCAACGTTGCAACGTTCAACTTCCAAGCCACGTTGCAGCGCTCCTTCACGTCCTCTTGCGCACAACACGCTAAGTGAACAAACATTAACACTCAGGCTCGAAAGGCAGCAGGGAACGACAGGCTCACTCAGTTAAAGTTTCCACACTGGAAGTTACTGTCATTTTCAATCAACTGACAGCAATTTGAGCAGGGACACGCGGTGTAAAATATGACGGTAGACTCCGGTCCGCAGACATAACCGAAGTCGTTCCCGCCCGTGTTTTTTAAGCACTTTGGTGAATCTGTGGATAAATTGTAAGTACGTGGTCTGCACATAGGCCGCAAAAGTACTCACTACTGGGGCTGCATGGTTTACCCATGTATATACTATCTAAATCAGATGCGATAGCTATGCCAGCTATCGCTGCAACAATAGTGAGTGAAGTAAATTTCATAGTTGAACCGTTGAAGGTTGATGGTATTTTCTGGGCCGCGTAGGCTGGCTTTTTATACGTGATCAGTGGTATGACAAAACCCTTTCGTGTGCCTACATCACTGGATGCTTGTGTAGGGACAAAACTACTCGTTGCCAATTCCGCCGATAACAGCAAGTTCACGACACATCCGGTGGAGAAATAGAGGCGGCGACCGGACTTTCATATTCATGGTAGTAACCATTCGAGCTATCATCAACTCGAGGTGCTATCTTTGATTAGCAACAAGGGGGCGTCATCGTCCTCCACTATGCACCATCTTGGTATAGGGATATCGGTTTTCATGTTCAAACTGACCTAAATTGAGTCTTGGATATCATGGAGTCCTGCCGTGGACTGGGCACAACAAACCGGTTGGCAAAACTGCTGAGCTCTAGCAACACTTGCTCGGGAATGAAACAGATGCCAGCTCACTGTGGCACTTTGATGAACACCGTGATTAAATTTAGAAATCAAATTACAATTGTGGATTTTCAAGTTGGCTGAGTCCGTACGGCTGTACGCTCAACTTCCAACATGTCTGAACAAATCTAGAGCCTCGATGGAGCGATGAGTCCAGCATGCAAGTGTTATTCGCATGATATCCCTTTTACATAATTACTCTTGCTCAGCTTGGTGAAGACCAACAACATGATTTTGGACGTACCCAACGGTCCAAACGAAACCGTATCAATATAATCCTTCCGCCTCCGCAACGTTGCTAATGCTCAGATGCTACGGTTACTACATATCTGAAGAGTGGCTTTATCAGACGGCTCGTTCCTTGCTAAACTACACCCCGATTCTTCCGTCAATAGCAACGCCACTGGCTAGAGTAACCCCCAGCTACAGCTTCATAAAAACCTTCCACATTCATTCTCTTTCAACGAATTATGCAATTCCACCTCCCGGCCAGATCATTCCAGCGGAATGCATGTCTGACGATGCTGTTCACGTGTTGTACATTTTCAACGACCAGCCAGAGAGTTATCATCACCGCCCCACAAGTTGATGAGCTGACTAGGTTCATGGGCAGAGAGCCGCAGTGGGTAGGTGTTATGTCAGTAAAGTATTACTAGTTCTGTAGTAGGGCTGTACTACTACTAGTCATTCCCAGGCGCAGCAGTTAAGCGCGCATGTTTTGCTCAGCCATCTGCGTAGCCCGCAGTCCCTATCACTGTATAACTTTGGTTCTTTTCAACACTTAGAGGAGCGCCGAGATGGTCTTGCTCGATAAATACACCGATGAAATCGACGATGAAGTTGACTTGCCTCCCTCTTATGATACCATCGCATCTGTTTCTACCGTTATAGATGAGAAACCTCGTCCTTCGCCGGCACCAGCTGCCCGTCCCACAGCTTCTAGTTCTGCTGGTGTTGCAGGGTCTTCCTCTGCCGCCACTCTATCTTCTTCGACATGGTTTTCCCTCCTTCCTAATGTTCGTACCAAACAAACACGCCAAACTATCATATCTCTCATCCGCGATCTCGTTGCCACAGCCACTGATAACTCTGCTGCTACCCCAATCCTAGCCTCATGTGCATCTGCTCTATCTCCGTCATCCTTCTCCGCCCTCCTCCAACAACCTACCTTGGAAGGACACACTCCTATCTACTGGGCTATTCTTAACCGCCATACCCACATTCTCCCCGATATGCTTCAATACGCAGGCCCACTCAACAATGCCTGTGTTGCAGACATCCGTCTTGCTTGTCTTGCGAGTGGCGATCAGCTCTTGTTTGGGAAGCTTCGCAGGGGAGAGCTGCCGTTTATAACTACTCTCAGAGCAGGTGACCACCCCATTTTACTACCTTCTGTGTTGTTGAACTGATGCACAAGATTCAGACGCCCTCGTTCTAGGCTCCACATCTGCAGATGAGATCGACGTCCATGAGGTCGATGGTGAAGCTGCCTTCAGTGCATCTATCAAAATCCGTCTCTGGCAGAAACGAATGCGCGTCGCTGGTTTGGTAGGTGTGGAGTTTATTGCGCGAGGTCAGCGTTTTCTCATTTCCATCCTCGTCGAACTCACTTCTTGTAGGACGCATATGGTCACTCGCTTTCTTCTCTTCTCCCTCCCCATCTCCTTTCTCCAGTTCTCCCTCGACTCATGGTGCGGGGAGCGGACCCTGGCAAGTCGCACTCAGTCTCATGGAGCACAGTCCACCTACATTCGTGGATGGAAGACTTATCATCGATGTCTTTCGTCCTCTTTCATCTTCAATTCCAGACCTACTCTCCTCCGAGTCATCTTCACCCGCCCACTCAAGATACTCGTCTCTTCCCTCAACACCAGTGCCTACCTCCCCTACCCAAGCAAAACCGCCCGTCATCATACCATTTCGATCTACTAATCGACTTGCCCATCGTACTCCGGATGGAAGTGTGTTTAATGTGTTGGAGCTCGGGCGGGGTGGTATTGGTCTTAGGTGGGTTTGATCCGTGGGAGGCGTTGCGTAGGCTGATTATATTCTTTCTCTCCTTGTGCACCGTGCTTCATTTACTCAACATGTACTACGCCCAGCTCACAAAAGCCCTGCAGACCTCCACAACCAGCTACGTGGTCCGAGGAAGGGACAATGTACACGAATACGCTGATCGGAGTGTTGGGCGATGATCTTGGGTGGGGGTGAGTGTTTTTTTTTTCTGGTTTTGGTTCGATTGGCTTCTCTGCTTCGTCCTTATTTACTTCCGTACTGCCTTACCGTACTTAATTTCTCGTCCGTCATTCACCCCGCCTCTCAGTCTACTTCGTTCATCCTCATATCCCTTTCTACACGGTTTCTCCCATCTACAATGCTTCTCTATCCTCTCTCGTGTGCCCTTCCCACCAAAAAAAGCTAACAACCCCCTCCCCACAGCGACACACCCTACCTCGCACCGGACGGCACCCTCCACGCACGACTGGATGCAAGACTTGAGAAAGCGGAGGGTGGGAGCTGTATCATCTGTTAGCGGTTGTATTCGAGGTGTGTTAGTGCTGATAACAGAGCAAGTTGTGAGGGGAGTCCCTCCAGCATACGATGCGATGTGCGTTATCTAGGATGTGTGGAATCCCTGATTTACACTTATGCATAGCGGGTTGGGCTGTTGTACAACGTGTTCCGCATATACCTGCGTCCCGAGTGCGTTTGAAGTATTTGAACAAGCTTGAGTCTGTTTGTCTACTATCTCAGATGCATGGGGAACGAGGGTGCGATGCTTACAGGAAGCGCATGTCGTTTCGTTATCTGCGATGGGACGCGTCAGGTTGCCGTCGTTAATGCAGATGTGGATACATATTATAGCTAGGAGAGTAGTCGAGACTTGGTTGGTTAATATTTAATCATGATGTCACTGAGGGGATCATCAGTGGGTAGCCTACTAGTGCTAGTGATCGATCACGCGATCACGGGTTGCTACTTTTCCCATTAGTAATCACTTCCGGTATTCGTTTCAATTTCCTTCTCCGAGTCTGCTTTCGAATTCGTTCCTTGGTATAGTAGCTTGGATACTCGAACGCCTGCCCTACGGCTGATGCAGCATCCTCCATGCGTTATTGAATGCAATAAGTACTGGAGGGCGGAAGAGATATCGATATCGGTGACGAAGTGAACACGCCGTCTTTTTTTTCCGGCAAGTCTGAGGCGGCCCGAGCGTCTTGTACAATTGAGCTGCAGCCCGCGGGCTCTTGAATAAGGCTTAGCTTGAGCGCTAAGCCTGTGCTGTGCTGTGCGGCCTGTCATGGTGTACAGCTACTACAGTAGCGTCGGTCGCCAACCACGGTCCACCTTCCTTCCTACATCTCATACATTAGGTGAAAACAGACGTTCACTTATCCTCTGACCTTCAAAATGGTCTTTCTGTGGCTCAAGGATCTAAATAAGGTCGTCCTACTTCGCCTAAGGCCATCTAAAAAATTGAAGAAAGGACGCACACAACACAGCTCGACAAGTTGGACAACCACCGGTCATAAGGGCGATAGCTCACCTGCAGATTTTTCTGCCAGTCCCTTCTCTTTGCACGCGCCCACTTCGAATCCATTGCTAATGCAGCCCATTTCTGCAACTAGAGAACCCGTCAATTTGGAAGCCTCCATCACTGTTCCTTCCAGATCCTCTGGCAGCGTACCACTTGCCCGCAAAGTTTATGACATGGTTCCGGTGGCTTTGCCATTGGTACGGGCCATTGCAGGTGTGATTCCACTTGTTGGCTCTCCGATGGAGGCGGCTATCGGTGGACTAATGTCAGTCCTTCAAACTTTAAATGTGAGAGCTTGAGCAATCATGAGGACGTTTATTGATTTTAACGGACATCACAGACGCATGATCAGAACAAGGCGGACCTCGATAGTCTGACGAAACAACTCAATCAACTGAGCTGCGATTTGTGCAACGCCCCACCTGCTTGCAATCCTTCTGAACAATTCCGGAGAGATTCATTTGTCAGGTATATACTTTTTTCAGTGTGTGCCGAATTGCATCTGACATCAAGCCGAACTTAGGATGCTGCAAGATACCTCAACCCGAGTGGCTACGTTGCATGAACGTTGTTTCGCATCCACATCCGTCACACAAGGTATTGCTGAATGCTTCAATGAAATCGACCGTCATTTGGCGCGTTATCTGGTTGCGTTCTGTATTCTCTCAAAATTGTTTGCCTTCACTCACTACTCTATTTGGTTAGTTGTCGTCGCAAATGCAAATTCAACGTGATATACACGAAGAGTCACGGAGGCAGCGGGAAGCGAATCAGGAATTGTTGATCGCAATGCAAAGCCTGATGAACAGAACTGTCGCACTGGCTGGTTGCGTGATACTGGTAGATGCAACAGGCCACGACCATGCAATACCTGTGAATTTCTGCACCTCATTTCAGGTCTGCTCACCAACCTCAAAATTCGTCTTGTGGACGCCTACTGATAAAATTCTCTGTAGCAACTAAATAAGATGCTCCAAGTTCTGTTTGAATGTGACTCTGTCGAAGCACGCATTCAGAAACGATATGTAGAAGAAGGACAGTACGATTTGTGCATCGACGATGGCAGACAAGTAACCCGACTTACAAGCCAGTCAAGCATTCCAGCAGGCACAAAGATTGTCATGAGGGTTATCTTCGAACAGGAGATGACATCTTTCTCTGAATTTGACTACAAATGTCATTTTTGCGGCGCTGTGAATCACTTTCCCGTCGAGTCTGTTATGCATTCGCTTGAACGGCAGGCCGGTTGTTCGATTGATTGGTGAGTATGTCTGTCTCCTAGGGGCTGCTGATGCCTAACAGTCAGAAGTCGAGTATGCAAACGACGGTTTCAGATCTCCCGTGATCCCCATGTGAAGCAGAGCATACAGTCCTGTAATAGTAATTCCACTGAAGCGAGTGATGAAGAGCTGCGCCTCATTCACAACTTTCTTGTGCAGCAAAGCGTATGTCATCATGAACCTCGCAAGCAACCATCTTAAGCTGAAAACTTGGTCAACAGGCCGTACCCCGCCGTAATTCACATTCTCACCAGATTGGTACTAGAATAGTGTCTTGCCGCTGGCTTGTCGGAGACAATATGACATGCGTATTTGAAGGGACGCTGGATGCATTCAGAACCCATGTCATTGGATGTCATCTCTAAGTGTCTCGCGGTGCGGTAATAGTACCATGTCATTGGCAAGGTTGCAGAAACGCTCGCGGCATGCGGCGCGACTCAATCTTACGTCACATTCGTGAGGTCCATCTGGGGACTCTGTTTCGAATAATGCTATGAGTAGGACGAGTGACTGATCTTTCTGTGTTCATATGATGCACCTCAATGTACAGCTCGTGTGCTGTTGCACTTGCTACCATTGGCTCCTTGTATGTGAAGCCAAGCCGGTTTCCGACCATCACTCCGACTCCGCTACGGCTCCTGCGTACATGTAGTATTATACTGCAATCTCATGTCTACGGCTTGTGAATATCGGACGACGAAGATTGAGCTACATGGGCAGCAACTTGTATGGAGAAGGCTGAATGATGATTTGTACACAATATTGATGGAGTGATGTAAACATCTGAGGTCTATCCGACAGCTGAGAAGAGGGGTCTATGCCATGGAAGTGGTTGCGTATGCTCGTGCCAGAGCTACTAGTATAAGACGCGGTGTTCTATTGACTTGGATTACATGCAATGAGCACACGAATATGCTCATGTTCTTAGTGTTGAGTTATCACATTCACAAGGACACAAATGCTTATGGATATGATCATTTAGTGTTTGGATTCAGCTTCTGGAACTCAATGCGTGCAGGGTAACCACTTTATCTCGAATTATGTACTGAAATCGTTGGAAGTTCGATATCCATCGGTTGAGGCCTACTAGGTAGCTCCCTGGCGTTGAGTCTAGTAGTCGCACCATAAGTTAATGTGGATGATCGACTCGCAGTTTCACTTACGTAGATAGTAACGAATTGGCATATGCTGTTCGATGCATACCATCTCAGACTGCGGGACGAAATTAACTCAGGAGAAAACGTCACTCACAACTTCTGAGAACCATGGCTACACCTCCGATGGCAGCAAACCCATTTACCCAGTACTGGGCATTGTTATTTAGTTAAGAAGTTTTGCATAGATCACACTGCGTACCAAGATGAATATGCTGATAGCCAACAAGCTGTTGGGTCACACAATAAGGTGCTCAGTGGTAATCACATAAAAGCAGTACAAAACTTGCCACACAAGAAAGCCCATGCTGGTGAATTTCTTAGTTATGTTCTGGATACGGGTGTCGGTACTACATCGCACAGGTAAATATTTTGACGGTTAGGTCACAGTATATCGACTCACCGGTGGACACCAGCTCTTGCAGGACGTAGATAAAAGTAGACTGAAAGACTGATCGTGGAATCGCACAAAACGCTCTGAAATGCTCCTACGGCTGAGATTTTGAGTATCTACCAAAAGATGTCAGGATAGCCTTTAGGGAGATGCTCCAACGTACTGCGTCGCCCGAGAAAGCCCCAGCCTTCCTGGATATGTCATTGAACTAAGTTCTTCGGTCTTATTACGAAAAAACTCACTGCGGCGGAATAAGTACTGCACGCAAAGGGAATCTGTCAGTCACATGCACAAAGTAAACACTGTTCAGCCAACTAACTCAAACCGAGCACTATCATAAATAAGTCTGAGAGTACAACCAAGATACAGTGCACAATGAAACTCACCATAAGATGAAACTGCAAATAAAATCTGTTGTTCGCCAACGTAAGTTTACGGATCTCGTTAACGCGATGGAATACTCACTATCGGTATGGCGACGTAGATGTTTTTGCCACTGACTACGTACACGGCTGAATTACAAACGACATACAACTAACGCATGACGACTTACTTATCCATACACGATGACAATAAAAACTGCGGTGTCAAGAAGTAAGCATCACTCGCAATAGCGATCGGCGTGGTACCTTTGCACCACGAATGGCAGGGTCATCTGGAAAGAACGTCAGATTAATGATCCTGAAAACGTCTTTAGAACTCACAGACACAAAGAGAAGGATCATTGCCTGCCATAGGTCGAGTTCAAGTTGGGTATGCTTAATCTGAGAGTAAAGACATCTTGCTCACCGCCGTATCCCTGCAACTGCGTTAATACCGAAAAACATCATGACTATGCACGTGAGACGCTCACCATGCCTGACATCTCGGGGATGTACTTCGAAAACAATTGACAAAGAACGACCAGTACATGAAACTGGTCAATAATGTCCCGGTGACATTTAGAATCCTGGATCATAGTTAAATGATGTACACAATAGATATAGTAGAAAATGAACATGACAGTGACTACCTAAAAGTCCTCGGTTAGAGGGTATAAGTGATACCACCGTCATGTACTCACCAGATATTTTAGCATTCGTATGTCACGAGGGAAGGCTCGATAATAACGGAAGCCCTGGGCAGCAGCAATACCTAGTTGCCTATCAGAGCCATTTAAGTTAGTGTCCAATGGGTTTGGTAACCGAGATATACTGACACGAAAGAGATGGTCAACCCTAAAGGTTTGAACAGTAATATGTACTCAGTAGACATCAAAGCAAGAATATCGATATTTTGCTCCTACCTATAAACTGGATTGCAAGTACAGACATGTCCGTCATTCCTGAAAGTTGGAAAGAAGATGGCTTAGTGACACTGCACCAAAGGAAGGTTACATAAGACAACTCAAGGTAAACTGCATCCACTTACTTATAATCCGGGTACTCAGGGTACTACTAGTATTTGCCGAGACGTGACGTCCAGCGATGAAAACTTAAAACCCTGAAATGAAACGTTAAACATTCCGCACAAAGTTGAATATAAAAGATTAAATGTACACTCCAATGCCGTACAAATGAACGAGCTGGCAGTGTCGTTGCAGGCTGGACTGACCCTAACGAGCCTGCGTATGTGATCCAGGATGAGAGTTGCTACTCAGTAGGTTCCTACTCCAACAGTCTATGACGTCTCAGCTTTTGATGCTTACGAATATGAATCAGCCGTCACTGATCACGCCGTCCCCTTTCCATCAATCAGACACTCAGTGTTGAAAGCTTCAAGGATCGACGTACAAGCGAGCCCGAGTAGTCGCAGCCCAACTTTCCCTTCGGCCTGTCGTTTGCTATATGGTCCGATATCCATTAATGTAAGTCGCTGTGAATGTGACCCTTCTTTAATTTTCTGCCGAGACCCACTCATTCCAATGCTATGTAAACATGATAGAAGTCGGGAAACTTTAAAGATTTGACCATTCGCCATGCCATGCGCAATCGTACATCATGAATCTATGACCCTTGATGGTGGCCACACGTCCGACACGGAGCATCATACGAATAGGGGTGGGTCCTTCGTACGTAGTTGTGCCTTCAAGTTCCTGAAGGCTGACGTATCAGAAGTAAACGCCCCGCACTCGAATTGGATTATGTTTGACATAGGTCCTCGACCCTGTAGACATTTTTTTTTTAGGAAAAAACCCATTGGGTACGATGGATACTTCGGTGAGCCTGTTGCGGTAGAAGATGTGAGGTATGCATTGCAAGGCGGGTTGTCAAATTGAAGTGAGGTGGGGATGGCTGATGACACGAGGGAGTTGCCTAGCATTACAAAACGCCTTCGTCATCAATCAATCAGAATTCCCTAGCCATTCTCGGCAATCCGATGCCAGGGGCCAATGTCGTTGTCGAGGGTGACCAGTAATAAAACGTCAATAAAGACTCGGCCAACGAGTTGGACGTCGAAATTTTTCTACAATAACGCACGGTTTCTACGGAGGATATAACACACTGAAAGAATTTTGTTGCAACGAGTTTGAAAAAGCCTGGATCAACACATGCAAGCTCGTGGCTAAATGGATGGGGCATACACATCAACAAAAGAGCCTGAAACATGTATGTCAATATATGCTGCCCGAAGTATATATGTTGAATATCAGGGCTTGTATCAAAATTTAATGCCTTATATGCACCTTGTAAGCTGGTTAACAGACTTGTGTACTCATGTAAGCTTCACAAGGCCTTATATGCTTCGGGCTCTTTTGTTGATGCACAAGGTGTGTTGTCTGTTTGCTGTAGTCGAGATGGTCAGCAAGCGCTCAGCAGAATTGTCGATGTACTAACTCCTGAGAACGATGCCCTTGTAGTTCTGTGGATGTTTGGGCAACCATGAGCAAATTCATGTTACAGGGATTTTGTATGTTTTGCACTGTCATCTGCGATACAATGTGTATGCTCAGTCCTTTCCAGTTTAAGTCGTCGTCCTCACAATTTGTCATCTTCCTCAAACTCAGGTGCGTTCTGTGTTGTGAATTTCATCCAGCAGGAGTTTGGTTCGAGTCGATCGTACGGTGTGGGGAGTGGCATTCTATCGTATAGTACCTCGCTGCTTCCTACATCGAACGAGCTGAATGTAACGCGGGTGTTTGGCTTCGGCAGGCCTGCAGTTGTAATGTGGGGCTGTGAATTAGCGAGGTGGCTTCAAAGTTGACCACGGCCGCCGGCAACACCCGATTTCCACGACTCACGGTCACTCACCGAAGCAACCGGAACTTCGTTGCCAATATGGTTGGGGAGAAAGTCGGCGTAGTAGTAGGTGTCCTTGGTTCCTCCATCAGTTTGTGTCTTACAAGGCGACGAAGTTATCGTCTTCTAACAAACATCCTATAGGCTATCTTGGTTGAATACTGGAGTCCGAAATGTCTCAGCTTCCAACGCCTGAGAGGCGTGTCCTATCATTACACACAACTCTAGGCTCAGACCCAGTAGAGCTCAAGTGTTCTACACTATATTATCCCGTATCCTGCGCCAAAGACGGTCTCACACTCGTGTTCACACACGGAATTGCTAGTCGTGAGTTCTTCCATCCAATCTCGTGCCCTGACCTCAAATGTGCTTCAGACAAGGAACAGTACGACCCTACTATCGCTCGCCTGCTTTCGCACGCTCAAACACACACTACAATCCGAGATATATGGGTGCTTGACTTCCCCAATCATGGTCAAACAGCACTTCTCAACCGGCCCGTGCTTGATGCACGCAAGGCAGCTGGGAAGGCGATGTGCAGTACGTTCTTCCTCCTTATGTATTACTACTAATGCTAACATTGCCTCAAGCAACGAAAGATATCGCACTCTACCTCCAGGCCTTCCTCTCTACTCCCTCTCTTAAATCCAGCACGGTGGTAGGAATCGCTCATTCTGGGAGTTGCACGCTCTGGATATTGGCGCTCACATCCATACCCCCTTCTCTTACACCCTTTGCTCTTATAATGGTCGACCCTACATTGATGTTCCCTTCTCTCACTCCAACTGACCCTCGCTCCATCCACGGAGCCGCGAACGTCCGAGGGTCACTTGCTAAACGCGATCGTTGGACGGATAGGGAAGCGTTGACGAGGTGGTTGGTGGGTGGGAAAGGCGTTTGGAGGAAATGGGATAAGAGGGTTGTAGATGATTATGTGAGGTATGGATTTGAGGAGGTGAATGAGTCGCACCTTGGTACGGGGAAGAAGAGTTATGTTACACCTACATTGAGAAAAGACGAGGAGAGCCCGTTGTATGCGTGTTTGTCGCATACGGTGGAGACCGAGTCTCTTGGGCGCGCATGTAGGGCGGTGGAGGAGGCTGGGAGGGGAGTTCATGTCGTCTGGGCTGATTTCGAGGAATTTATGTGCGTTGTTTTCTTTCTTTTCTGTTCTTGGATGACAGTGCTGTGACGGTGTTCGTGTAGATCTAAAGAGTCGAGAAAAGAAATTTTAGATGCTGCGGAGCACAGGGTGGTGTCTCAGCGGACTATCAAGGGGGCAGGACATTTGGTATGTGACTGTCTTATTCTGCTGTCCAAGTGGGTTGTAAGATATCGTCTTCTCAAATCTATTAGATTCCGCAAGAGAAACCAGACGAACTTGGAGAGGCACTCGTCGAAATACTGGATGAGATTGTGAATGGTTCGGGGAACGCGAAGGCGAAGATGTAGGATGGTAGGTGAGTCTTGACGGTTGTTCCTTGGTGGACGGGGATGTTTGGCTGATGATACGCATAAAGATATGATCTTACCAATATCGCTTGCATACAAAATTTGTAAATTTATCAAAAAAACTGCGTACGCGTCGAAAGTTCAACATTGTAAGAGTGCTTCATCGCTATGCATGCGACTTCAAACTTGAGGCTGTTGGTGTAAAAGTTTATTGTGCAGGTGTAACCTGCACATTCAACTATAACGCGGAAGGTCTTTCTTCGAAGACGCAGGTTTGGGAGATCAAGTTGAGCTTAGTGCTGTTATAGCAAGTCGCTATCGCGACCCCTCAATGCATCACAAGTGGTTATCAAAACATCCCGGAAGCCTGCCCGCGAAAATTCAGCCAAGGACCATTTCCCAACTCGACGTGCATTCTCGATGCGTCTATCACCAATTGACTTGGCAAGGAATTCTTTGGACACTGGCCTTTGAAATCGTTGGTTCCATATCTCATCACAGCTGCCTTTTTGTCAGTTCAAAGTTGGTTCGAAGATCTGGAACCGAGATACGTCAGTGCACATTAACCAAGGCTTGACCTGTTAATATATAGCTCTCAATGCCGGTCACGTACGTACTCATCCCATTCGTTACACGCCTTGTATACGTTCACCTTTGACTCTCCTCAATCAGCGTACTAATTCCTCTTCCCTCGAGTAATCCGCTTTTTAATCCAAAATTAAGTCCCTTTCCGTTTCTAGTCTGAGTCTCTCGAATCATTCGTAAGACAATTAAGTTCATCAAGTATCGCAATCATGTACATACATACAACACAAGTCATATCTTGATATCCCTCATCTGCTTCACAACACCCCTCTCAGCCGCATAACCCGCACGCCCAAATTTTTTCCCAATCATCGGAACAATTCCAAAATTCTATGGGAAAATGGGACACCTTCAAACGAACTTTGTCCGTTCGAATACATTCTTCTCCTGGACCAATCGTAGCAAACGCACTTATCCTCCAATCACGGACATCATTGCGGCGGCGCGTCAGCATGGCTGCAGATAACGTCAACAGCTCTACGTGAAAGCTTCTTCCCTTTCTTCCCTTTGTGAACTGATCGAACTCGTAGATATCGAAAGGGGGTTTGATATGTGGGTAGGCCATTGAGAAAGTTTGAAGGTTCTTGAAAGAAAGCTCTTCATCCACGGAGGTAGGTGGTAGTCTCGAGATCTGTCACGAGACATGGCTACAAAAAAATGGTAGTCGAATGTGGTTGTGTAGGACCCGTAGACGAGGCGAGAGATCGAGGAAATGAAAGCGGATCCTTGAGGGGTGTTCGTGAGGAGCTCCCACGGGAAGTTGACGACTGTGTCACCCGACAGCGTCAGAGTTTGCGTCTTCCAAGGAGGCGGTGAATGTTCGTCGTTGGCATTTGTGTCTGCACGGGACTTCCATGCGTGTTCCAGGGATTCTGAAAAAAGCTTCAGAGTTGTCCAACCAAGGGCAATGGACGGCGCAGCGAGCAACACTGGAGTCAGGACGCTGATGGTCAGCTTGCGCGCCGATGCATAGTCTGATTGGAGCAAGTGATTGGGTACGATCTTGTCGTAGATGCACCCAATCCATATCTTGTGTATGTGAGGCGCATACTGGAAATAGAGGTCGTTTGGTATTTGTTCCTCCCCGCGCTTCAAACGGAGGTCGTTTTGTTTTTGGATCTCCGCGTACTCTTCCTGCATACATAGAGCATCGAGAAACCTGTTTAGGTTTTCTGATTTCGGCAGCAATATGGTGTGTAGGAGTTCGGGAAGCACAATGCGCCTGACAGTTTTGGAGACGAGACAAAGTGTGAGTGCGGAGGAGTATGGACTTTTGACCTGATATCTTTCAGTCTGGTCAAAGGTAGCTTGTGCGGAATATCTGAGGATGCGGCAGGCGAGTTCGGTTGGAAGGTTGGCAAACGGAAATTTGGAGATAGAGTCCATGACAGGCGAGTAAGATGCGAAGCTGGTTGAAGGAGTCCTACCTTTGATATTTAATACTCGCCTTATAAATTGCAGCGTCATCCACAGCAGTGTGGATGCATTGTGAGTGACCACGCGCTGTGGCCCAGTGGTCTATATAGCAACGTTATTGTTCCTTCTAGGTCGGACAACTTGCTTGGCTCTGATCCACGGTTGTGCTCTGATCCTGTCACGCGAAATTCCTCATTGCTGATTACCTGCAGAGGTCACCATTAAGATGAAACAAAGGTAGCACGAACCATATAATTTACCTGTATTCTCACTTCTGACCAGACTTGATGCTCGTACAGGAGCTCATTCAGGTTCTATTGTCGCACTCTTGTCGTACATAGTCGCTCGCTGAGTCGAGTTGTCCCTAAGAAAATTTGGCTGTGCTTAAGCAACGGAGACCTTCCAACTAAACATAGCAATAAGTGTGCTGAGTACATCAAACACTTAACGCTATGTTCACTGAAAAGTACGAGATGTGGACGACAGAAGTACTGCAGCCTGGTGGTCGTCAGCTTGAGGTCTAAGATCAACAATCTCACACCATACGATTCGCTGGGCCTATCCACGCATATCAACCACTCTTCCACTGGAGAGTTCCGCATGAAGTCCCTCCCTGGCGTTGCTCGAACTAGGCCAGACATGGGCCAGACATGTTAGACGAGTCAGATGGCCGACTCGCATGACAACGGGTTGTTCAGCAAACTATGGTATAGGATATCGATCTCTAGTATCAATACACTCAATTAAGAGTGTACCGTTCATCAGCTGCAAACAGATCATAGTGCGGTATGATATATGATAGCTGGTGCGGAGTTTACAGTTAAAACCCCGTTGAGCTCAGACTCATCTCACCGGTGGCTGATATATATACCTACTTCCTCAATCGCCCTCGTATACGTTCACATCATCCTTGACATCGCTCAAGCTTCAAGGGGTATCGAGAACGGCTAATGAAAGGCGTTCGGCCTTTCTAACCAACTTTCAACTCCTCTCGCTACTACCTCGCTTCGATTCACCTGTGGCCCACGTGCTTTTCAACACATCTTATATCGCCATCTTTCAACCATTCCCCGATATTTGCGTCCATCGTAGTAAGCCATTCCAAGCTCGTCCGCATCATGTCGCCTTGCATCATGCTCGTACGATGTTCGATGTGGCATCCCACTCTTGCATAAAACACGCACATCACAGTAGGTCACCGCTCCCTACATAATTTGCGGTCCATCACCTCGACCGTCTAGCAAAAACCGATGCCAGCTTCTTTTCCCCACTCCGATTAGGAATGACCAGCCTACGAATGACATTAACAGTCTTATATTGAAGGGACCACACTGTACATAGCAGGGGAAAAATATGTACGTCCTGCACAACCGCATACTCTTCATCGACAACAACTTAACATGACTCTTCATGAACAAATCCAGCTCGAATGAAAAAAACCCTCTCTCGCTCTCCCTCTTTCGTTCGAGATCAACGTGTTGTAGGTTGTCAGCTCTACCATCTCGAACACACGAGGTGGTGGTGGTATCTTCGACGAAAACGTTAACATTGGGAAGACATGGCAAGGTCCGGGCTAGAATATTGATAATTTGATATTGAAGATTGAACTGCCACCGCGTTCAAGTTTGCATCTGACTTATGTACATCCTGCTAGTACGATATCGGTGTAAGAAATGGTGAACATTTCTTCGACGTGCAAGGCATGGTAGATATGTTCACCAGTCCCTGCACCGGTATACTGTATGTATATAGTATCAGCTGGTATCAAATCAAAAGTACTTTTCTATCATCTACTTCGGAGTCACAAGAACAGTGAGACTCGGCACAGCGTGTTTTTCGTAGTGTTTTAATGTTTGGTTTATTTATGAAGCTAATCACGTTGGCCCCACACTCCACTATCGATGTGTGCCTCGAAACAAGGGTTCAACATTCTCGGTCACTTCTTGATAGGACTTCATGTACATGATTCTGATTGCCTCATGGCATCCGTGCAGTCGCAGCAGAGATGGTATATCTTTACGGCCACCCCCCAACCACCCCCATAACACGAGGTTTTCTACACTGATACCATTATGGGATGCTTGTAATTGTATGGGAACTCGTGCATGGCCGTAATGTGTGGGCGCCCTTCAGTGCGCCACCCATGGGAGCGTGCCTACAGTTTAGGTCTTCGCGAGTCGTGGCATGTTGCGTTATCCGTGCAATGCGTCATACCACCCTGATGACTTTCACAATTTCAAGTTTCGTGGCGGAGAATCACAACTATCTTCATCAATTTGTGGGTCAGTTACCATATCTAGCTTACGACGATCTTTCTTCGCAGGTTCTTCGTGGGTACCTGGGCATGCATGTAAGCCACGAGGTCCGGATCTGAACGCTTTGATATCCCTTACATATAGTAAGAGTCTGTTCGTGATATGGCACAGCACAGGGGTTTCTCCCATCTTTTGCGTCCTATAAGCCCTCCCATATACTATGTCCCCTGGTACAAAGCAAACAAAGGTAAGCTCCGACCAAATTCCTTTGACTTTATTTTGATAGAAAAAATATAGCGAAAAAAGCGCAAAAACCAAAAATCAAGGCGCACACCCCTCGCCGCCTTTTTCGCTCAATTTGAATCATTCTCCTTCGACGAAAACCAGTCCTCAGACAAGAACTTGGACCGCCTCATCAAGGTCCTGAGATGTGACGTCCAAGATCCGGATAGGCGCGAAGTATGCAATGGGTTCAAAGACGCGCTCATTCAGGAATTCAACGAGCGTTTCGGGAATGACGGAAACAACATTTCGAACTGGCAGAATTTATGCCGTGTGCTGAGAGTCGATCCTGTTCCGGATTCAATTGAGGCGTGTCGTCACGTTTGTATATCATTATTGCAGCGAGTCATCGTGGCTGAGATGCTTGTGTAGTGCGTTTGGGACACGCGGGTCAACCTTGTAGACTTGGTTGATTCAGCGAGGACTGGGAAGCCTGCAAAGCTGTTTCCGACCTTGGGAGAGTTGACAGCATATACTCTCCAGGAGCCAGAGAAATTCTTTCCGAAAGAGAATGTGTATCAAGGCGGGAAGGAGTTGCTAAAGGAGATCACAGACCCGCACTTCGGGAAACGAAGGAACGGGAGTGCGAAGAGAGAAGAAAGAAAGAAGAAACAGAAGGCCGCAAGGGCAGCAGTAGGAGGTGACTTAACGTGTGTTTAGTGGTAAAAACTGACTGGAGCTGTCTCTTTGAAAACGTTCACTTTTATTACGTTCTCTGTACCAGTAGCATGCGCACTATGTCCTGTCAACAACTTGTAATTTATCTGCATACTACTAGAGGAAAATAAGAGTGAAACAAGCAACTAATAAGTAGATTAGCCATAGCACACAGTCGTCCTCTTGAAAGAAGGATGGACCTGTCAGATTGAATTCTATGTCTCTCGTGGGTGTGGAAGATGCTGCCAGTGCGGGTGACTTCGGCGACCATACCAACACATTTTGCTTCACAATCAGAATAGTATTGCTTGCCCACTTGTTGGTTCTGACTGGGGCTAAAGGCGATGACGAGGTTGTACTCAGATGAAAAGATGTTGCGACCGTTTTTGGTGTAAAATCTCGTATATAATGGATCCCCAGCCCTACTAGAAAATCCCATATCAACAGGACATCGGCATAGTTTATCCTGCAGGCCCTAATCATAGTCAACTAGCTACACTGCCAATGTGTACATAATGACAATCAAATGAAACGCGCCTAGTCCGGAAAACAGTCATAGCTATTAGACCAATCTATTAGCACCGACTTCCCATAGAACACACTTCCCATCAATCACTCTAACTGAATACTCCCGATGGTGCCACAATGGCACCCACACTCTCGCAATGCACTTCCTCCCATCTGCACCCCATGCACCATATTTTGCGCCACCTGTCAACAGACATCGACATCATGATATTACATCAAAAAAAACCAAAATTCACCAGCATTCGCAATAGCCATAAGCGGTACTGAAGCGGGTATGCCAACAACCCCTGTAACTACAGAAGCAGTACCGGCAGCGCAAGCGCCTCCGATGGTTGCAAGCATCTCCATGGATTCATCGCGACTGAACTCGCGACTCTCCGTCACAGAGCGCGCTTCAAAACGATGCGGGAGGCTGGCAAGGTGCGTTGTCCAACGTTCTCCGGGTTTGAGCTGATTTTTCCAATTGGTAGGGACGCCTAAGAAGAAAGCAGCATGGATTTCTTCGGTAAGGTTATTGATTACTGTCACGTCAGGCATCTTGGGAGGGATTGTAGAATGTATGCCCAGTATTGGGAACCCAGGCTATACGCAAAGTACCATGAGGTAAAGGCACATACTTATGCTACCATACAGACGGAGCTTCAAACGATTGTCAACATTAGTTGGGCGCCCAGGAGGCTTTTGTCGAACGTAGAAAAGTTCCCAGATCACTAGCAACATGCATGTGCAAAAATGCTTCCGCATGATATAACCCGTTTTGCAGGCATTGTGGATCCACCATGCACGATTCAAATCTCGTATAGTCTAATTGAGACCTTGCGCTCAAGGCCTCAATACTATGTGGGCTTTCGTGAATATCTCAGAAAGTATATATCTCTTATGTAAGACCCCATCACTCGTCCTCTTCTATGAACTTAACGTTATGTTGCACACCGTCTGAAGCATGGCATCCATGCAAATGATGTAGACCTTCTTACGAGGGAGACTCACCTTCTCAGGGTTTATTTGGACATTCTGGCATGTTTCAACGATCGACCTGTTCTGTTCTTGTGATCTCGTCAGCCGGAAAAAACGTGTTTCGTCGTCTATGTCGGGATCACAAGGGTCGAAACCTTAGAGGCCCATGTCTTTGAAGTACTTCCAATCAGACACCTTTGGAGTGCCTGATCCGTGAACGTCATACCAAATCATCCGGGAGTTCGGGCACGGGTCAGGGTAGCTCCCGACGGTGCTAGTGGTCTCAATGATTCCCGTAGGAGCGGCCATGAGATGATTTCTGGACAAGCCACGGACGGCATTGATGAAGGACGACTTGCCAGCTCTAGCAGAGCCAGTGACTGCGAATGCGGATGAATCTCGGACTGTAATGATACTGGGCCTTCATCCGACTGATATCTTCTTCTGAAGGGCGACACTCGGCGCGAACACCTTCGAACCGTTTATGATCAACAGTGAGCCTTGCTTCCTCCGCTCTGCGACTATCTTCTGCAGCTAACTGTTGCAGTTCTTCCGGACGGCTCTGCCACATTAACTACGCGGATCACAATCTCTACAAGTCATTTTTTCATCTTCAAGTTCCTTGGTGCCTCTTCTGCTTCCAGTTGCTTGATTCTGGCAGAACGAACTGGCCAGATGGCCGCAAACGCGGACCCCGCAGACACCACTGCAGACGTCACAACTGGCCACGAATACCAGAACCATGCGGGGCAGAGAAACTTTGTGTGTGGGTAGCCACTTTACACTGCTGAGAAGGGCGGTGCAGTATTCTGTTTTCTGCGTGCGTCCAATGCAACCTAGAATAAGATTGACTGACCAATTGCGGAACTTCAAGCTTTCCTTTAAGACCTCTTTATAGATTGCGATAAAGTAGATGTGGCGTGCAGCTGATGATAAATCTGCAGGGAAGACAATTTGACAAGGGGCAAGCAGGGTGGGCGACAGAGATATCACTGGCAAATCATGCTGGTTTCGGTGAGAGATTTTTGCGTCCGTCAGCTAGAACCTGCGAACTCGGTCACTTCAGACGGGCCATTAAAGCACAACTGTTCGTGCAACTAATAGCATCCCGTTCATGTAAACTGAAGATCACACAAAAGTACGTAGACTGAGTGGTGTTTGAATTCCATGCAAGTAATTATGAGGGATACAAATACGTGAAGTGCATGATGGTGAAGGGGGCGTAACGGCGTGCAACAACAAAGCAAGTATAATAAATCAGCATAAATGAAGTGACGACAAGTACTGACGGCGCTTAGGAATTATTGTACCCCGCGCGTCACAAAGTCGCAGGTAAGGTTTAACATTCCTTACTTAAAACCCGCCCATACCGCCCATGCCACCCATACCTCCCATGCCACCGGGCATACCACCAGCAGGTTTGTCCTCCTCACCGTCTACAACGCAGCATTCGCTCGTGGTCAGCAAGCTCGCGACACCTGCGGCATCTACGAGTGCGGTCCGTACGACCTTGAGCGGGTCGACGATACCACGCGCGATCATGTCAGTGTACTCGCCCTTTGCCGCGTCGTAACCGTATGCGAAGGAGGAGTTGGAGGAGTTGATAAGCGTGCCCACGATGACGCTTGCTTCTTCGCCCGCGTTGGTGAGGATCGTGCGTGCGGGCTGTGTCAATGCGCGGCGGATGATGCTGACGCCGAGGCCCTGGTCGAAGTTGGCAGTTGGGATGATGTCGGGGTCAGAGGAGGCAGGTTCGCCGGCTACAGCTGTCTTGAGCGAAAGGCTAGCCTTGAGCAGTGCGACACCACCGCCCGGGAGGATACCCTCCTCGACAGCGGCACGCGTTGCGTTAAGTGCGTCGTCGTACCGGTCTTTCTTCTCTCCGACTTCGACTTCAGATGAACCACCGACTTTGATGACAGCGACACCTCCTGAGAGTTTCGCAAGACGTTCTTGGAGCTTGGTCTTGTCGAACTCGGAGGTGGTGGGGTCATTCAGGACTGCGCGGATCTGCTCGCACCGTGCTGAGATAGCATCCTTGGAGCCGGAACCGTTGAGGACGATGGTGTCCTCCTTGGTAATGGTGATGCTGCCGGTGCTGCCCAAGAGGTCAGCCGTTGCGTGCTCAAGCTTCACGTCCAGTTCATCAGTGAAGACTGAGCCGCCGGTGAGGATGGCAAGGTCGCCAAGGATGCTCTTACGGTTGTCACCAAAACCGGGTGCTTTGATGGCCGCGACCTGGAGCTGGCCACGGAGCTTGTTAAGGATACAAGCTGCGAGGGCTTCGCCGTCAACATCCTCTGCAATGATGACCAGCGGTCTGCGAGCTGAGGCAGCAGTTTCGAGGGATGGAAGGATGTCCTGTAGCAAGGAAATTTTCTTCTCGGAGAGGAGAATAAAAGGCTTTTCGAACTCGACTTTTTGAGTCTTGACGTCGGTGATGAAGTACGGGGAGATGTAACCGCGGTCAAAGCGCATGCCCTCTGTTACCTCAATCTCATCTTCGGTCGTCCGGCCCTCTTTCACGGTGATGACACCCTCTTTCCCAACTCTCTCCATTGCTTGCGCAATCAACCCACCAATATGCTCGTCGCCGTTAGCAGAGATAGTGGCGACTTGTGCGATCTCAGCTGTAGTGGTGATCGTTTTGGTATTGGCTTCCAAGAACTGGACAACCTTTTGTACGGCAGATTGAGCACCGCGACGAAGATCCATGGGATTGCACCCTGCCGCAACGTTCTTGACACCCTCGGCATAGATAGCACGAGCGAGGACGGTTGCGGTGGTAGTGCCATCACCAGCAATTTCGTTTGTTTTTTGCGCGACATCCTGCACGAGCCTATTTCGGGAACGCGTAAGAATGGCATGTTGACAATGAGACGAAAAGAACTTACCGGGCGCCAAGATTCTCGAACTTGTCCTTGAGACTGATGCTTTTGGCCACAGTTACTCCGTCTGAGGGTGATTCAGGTAAGAACAGTAGATATAGAGAGAGAAAAAGGGCTTACCCTTCGTGATTTTTGGCCCACCAAAGCTCTGCTCAATAATGACGTTGCGGCCTGTGAAATTGCAAAAAAAAATTGAATTCACAATTGGTTCGCGAGAGTGAAGGGGGTGATACTAACCTTTTGGACCGAGGGTGACGCTGACAGCATTAGCAAGGACGTCGACACCCTTGAGGATGCTAGCACGACCGTCATTACTGAACTTGATCTCCTTGTGTACACTGCGAGTCAAAGTAGGCTTAACCTTGGCGGCAGCGCGACGGAGGGTACGGGAAGACGTGTGCATAGCTACTTCAACGACGAATTAGAATCAGGAAGACGAACTTCAAAGAAGAGAGGACGAATAGAAAAGAGAGGTGGTAAAAACTGGCAATAAAAAAGTTCCAGGAAAAATCTAGAATTTCCCTGATTATGTAACCAAATACAGTTACTTAGTGTGACCGTTATGTGACTGCACGTTATGTAAACCTTGAAAAAGAAAAGATTACTTACTATATTTGACATAGAGTGTCACGACACACGTGACGGCTCCTGGTCAATAACCATTACCTCGCAGCGCCAACGGTCCGACGGACTATTGCGCTAACTTGCAGCTCACAAACTGGCAGTCATCATTAATGATATGAACGGTCACCACGAGCCCTCTATAGAGGAGCTTGAGAATGAGCTCCCTATAGTTCTTGATGGCCAGGTTCCGCTGGGCGACCTTCTTTCTAGAGTGGCCCAGGCCATCTATGCTGAGTTGTCTGAGCTTGCTGAGACGTGAGTGTCTCACATGTTAACTCTACAAATTCCCTTTGAAAAAACTCTATCAAGTCTTCCAAACATGTCCGATGGTGCTCGAAAACGCACACTCGCCGATTGGGTCGTGAAGACTAAGAAGCAAGTTGTAAAGCTGTATGCCATCACTAAATGGGCGCGGGATGCAGAGACCGTACAGAAATGCATGGCGAGTAACGCGTTTTTATCAATGCTTTACACTTCATATCATTTTCCAGAACATCACTGCTTTCCTCATGAATCAGAACCAGCAATTCGAAGATGTCATGAAAGGCCTGACGTATGCAAAAGAAAGCTTGGACCCTGCCAGGTACAGGACCATTACACGCCCTCACGCTTGTCCTCACGCGTTCTATGTCGTAGGCTACGAAATCATGACTTACTCACCTCGCTGGATGTCCTTACTACAGGCACATATCAGCGGCTACCGTCTGCCATCAAGGTTTTCTCCATCTTCCGTATGCTTGAATTATGCTCATATCTTTCCATAGAAATCTATCATTCCAATCACTCCCTTAACGGATGCTGAGGTTGTAAGCACGCTCAGTGACATGGAACACGCCATCCGCTACCGTCTCCGTATGTCGGAGATAATCCCGGTGGAAATGCTCCAGCATCGCATTGGTATCTTTCTGAGCTTACCACCACAAAGTTCCTCACTCAATTTATCTCAGCTAATGGACGTGTGCACTTCTCGGTCCCTAAGTTGTTCGAAAGTGCCATCTGCCTAAAAGGTGCAGAGAAGAATGACGGCTGGTTCTTTGTTAGCGTCAAGTTCCTCATCACCGTGGGCGGTGACCTCACGGGCATGCAAGGTATTGATGTCGTCTGATTCACTACATACCGTCGTTTATGCCGCGTACCTAGAATTCCCTTCCGAGCCCACTGGGGTCCTCAGACGACATATTGCAGACGAGGCTAACATACGGATGGCGTGTTACCTTCCGCTCCCAGACACACCAGAATTTGCTCCGAACCCGGAAGATCCACCGCGACCGCAGCTTCCAGAAGGAACGGTAGATGCACCTCTGGTGAGGCTCTTTAATTTCCTTCGTAAGTGAAAGAGTTTGTTGCCGTTGGATGGGAACTCACGAAGACGCACAGAAATGATGTCCATGTCCTATCAACTTGAAATATTGTGCTACCAAGTAAGCACATCTTCATGATCACAACGCTGTTGGCCGACGGCTTTCCCACAGGCTCAGAGGATGCGTTCCCTTGGCTGGGCTGATTTCCTCAAAGTTGAGATGCGCGATGGGCGCAGAACACTTGCCGTATCGTATTGGATGTAAGACCCTCAGTTTCACAGACCATTCTCCTGTTGCTCATGTGCATCCAGGCGACCGCCGCAACCCGGGGTCCCCGTGCTGGCCCCCAATCGTCTCAAATTACCATCGCATGGTGGTACCCTGACCATTTCTATTGTCGAAAAGGTCGACAAAAAAAGCGTGCGATCGCCTATGGCGCGGATGCTTGCAGAGCTTCAGCAAAAGTCAAAATTAGGTGACATGCGCCCTTCTGATGATGTTGAAAACCTGCAGTTTGACGCAAAATGGGAACCGATGAAGGGCGTGTTGGCCGCCAATATCGACGCTGAGGAAA